AAAATGAACTGTTTTTGTGAGCCACCGTTTTAAAAGCTTGATATACTCTCCACTAATTGCACTAATAACCGCAGCTATTCAAACGAGCTAACCTCGGCCTTCTGCCACTCCTGCGCAAGACAGAATCCAAACACACGGTCGCGTCCTTGGGTCCGAGCGAGTGTCTTCTGCACCAGCAGGAGTTCAAAATGTCACGCCAACTTTAGTTTGGATTTGAAGGCTGCGACTGTTGCCCGCTGCCTTTGGTCCAATTAGCAATCCTCAGCCTTAACAATGAGAGATCTGGGTTTGTCTTGGAGCGTGCGAGCAGGAATATTAAGGACAGTGTTTGATTAAAGAACGCACATTTTTTACCCTTCCCCACCATGTTTATAAGAAAATAATAATAATAAAAAGGTTGGATATATTTTAGTTAATGTTGTCCAATCAAGAAGCAGTCTTTTGAGAAAATGTGGGGTTTGATTTCAAGTTTGTAAAGCAGCTGTCGTGCACTTGTGGTGTGTTGGTGCTTGTGGAAAGGCTCTGGTGGTGTGTATTAACGTTCGCTCTCTTTCTTGTGGTCTTCGTTCCGTGTGCTGTTGAACCTCAGACGCCCTGTTCACGCACCACCCGTTCCGCTGCATGTGACCCCCTGCTGTCCCCCCTCACACTCCCCTTCTTCCCCGGTGTTCACTGCCCTCTCCTCCTCCCCTCCCTCCAGGCTCGCCCTGTCAGATGAGGACCCTGGACAGCGGCATCGGCACTTTCCCCCTGCCCAAGTCGGAGTCCTGTGGCCCGGTGGTGGTGTCCTCAGAGCCCTCCTCCTCCTCACAGCAGCAGCAGCAGTCTGATGAGGTCACCGCCAGCCCCTCCCGTCTGGGACACTCCCTCTCTGATCCCGCCGTGACCCGCAACAACAAGGCCGACGTACAGAGCCGCCTGCCCAAGCTCTCCACCTCAGGTAAAAGCACGGTTGTTTTGTTTACGAATACAACATTGTTCTCTCACACCAAAGTTGTATCTCTATCCATGCTAATATTTATAATACTTCAGAACTGATTTTGACTACCTTTTTCTTGGCATTTCACGTCTAAAGCAAACTAATTCAAACCACAAAAAATCGAACTGGATTAAAATACATCGCGATACCTTTAGTTCCTGGCTCTAAAACAGTTTTATCAATAATTCTCAGTCACAGAAAAAATAAAAACAGAGAACCACAATCGCTCTCAGCCCGAAGTGTCAAACAGTGACTCCTTTACAACTCCCTTAAATCATGAAAAGACCATGATTTATCGACTGAAAACTGACCAAAAGACCTGTCGCATTTGATCTCACCTCAAATTGGGAGTGTTTGAGGCTGTTAAAGCTAATGCAGGAGATTACTAAAAAGCCACACGAGTAGAAGTCTGTGCCCCCTTTGGTAAATGTTTTTCTCACAAGTTAACTTTCTCCATTGGGTATCTTATGAAAACATTCTGCAGTCCAAGCAAGACAAAAGTTCAACAGAAACACATTTTCATAGAAGGATAAGCAGTATGTCCTTGCGCTGCTTAAGCTACTCAATGGGAACAAGCACTTCAATTACAAGTTTCTTCTACCCGTTTTATGTTTCTCTCTTTTGAGTATCAAATACGTTATATATTATTCATATTTCCCCCTATATTAAGTGCATTGCCAGTCTGTTTACATCACAGTAACCATTCGCAACTTTGTCCCTTGTCCGGATTTATGCGTGCATTGTTTACCGCAGCACTTTTACCATCCGATATTCATCTTAATCATACCTTCCGCCGCTAACAATACATCCAGTAATAAAGACTTGCCCTTAAAAACAAATGCAACGCGCGCCTGTAAAAGCAGCCTTGTTACATTGAAATGGCGGCGCGCCCGGGCCTGAAAGCATCACGCTCTTTTAAGTGAAATATGGCTTGTCGAGAGCGGCACTCAGCAGAGCGGGGGGGACCCTGATGGGGCGCGGGCGAGTTATTAGCCCGGCTGATTTGAAGAAATGAAGAAGCTAATTCACAAGCTAATGCATCAAAAGTGACGGGTCGCATATGACGGATTGGGCAAGGAGCACGGAAACACCAGGGCCCCGGGAGAGCTCACGCTGTTGTACAAGGGGAAAGTAGCAACAAATCAGACGGACACTGTACCATTGAATGATAATGGGCACATAATTCGTCTGCGATGGACAAACTTTCAGAGATGAAAGTTGAGGCTGAAGAGGCTGAGCTGCAGAAGGATCTTTTAAGAGGGTCCTTTATTCGTCCCACAGTGGGGAAATTTCAGTTTGATGAATACACATACACACATTAAGGCATGCAGCGAACATTACTTACGCGCTCCTTATAGGCAAAGTGGGTTAAGTGTCTTGCCCAAGGACACAACAACAGCAGACAGTGTAGGCGGTGGAGAAGGTCTCGCGGTGGGCTCGAACCAACGACCTTCAGGCTCAAAGGCTTAGCTCTACCAACTGAGCCACGGTATGCATTTTATCAATTCCTCAAGAATAATCCATTATTGTCATCTATGATTGTTTTTTCAAACCTCACAGACTTAAACATGTTTTGTGCCTCAGACAATTCTATAATGACAGCAGAAATAAACAAAAAAGTGTATACAAGGTTTTTTTATTTTTTATGTATTTATTTTTTTGTACTCCTGAAGAGGTTCTCCAGGGGCATCACTTGAGATTTGTTTTTGCCTAATGTAGAAAACATCCAATTTTTACCACAGACAAAAAAGAAAACCTTATTGAGTGCATCTAAACAAACTCCTTTACTTTTTCAAATCCTTGTGCTGTTTGTGCATGGGCATACATCAGCTCCTGCCCTCTGCTCCCTCCTGTATAAGCCCAGTGCAGTAGATGCACCCTGACGTCTTAATAAAACCCCCATATGCGCTTCAGTGCCCCTCCAACTGCATCGCCAGCACCAACTGCCTCCATGCGGATCACTCCATTATCTGTGTCCCTTTTTACCTAAACTCTTCCCCAGACGTCATCGCTGCCCACAACATTCTTTGTCTGGCCAGAAGAATGGCATTATGATTCCGGGTTATTTAAAGCACAAATGCAGGCAATGCTAATGTGTCATAATGCGGTGAGAAGGAGATGGAGACGAGTGAGCACCGTTATTATCATGTTGTTTGGGACAGGAATTTATAAATAATATATAGATTTTGATTTGCTTTCGTCTGCCCTCTAAGACCAAGTCCATAGTGTTTTGAGTAGAGGCTAAGGATAATATTGGTTAGTAGACAAAGTGAGTGAGGATGATAAGAGGCTTGGTCAACTATTATTCAACAATATCAAAACAAACAAACATTGTAAAACTTGAACAGAGTGGGAGAGCAGCAGTTGAAGAGTGAAAGGTTTGCAAAAGGTTAGTTAAAAACAAACTTTCAATACACCGGTGAGGAACCACTGGTCCAGACTGAATTTGTTTAATTGTCTGCGAAATATGACAGTGGAGAATGTGTTTTATAATCAAAGTGGACGTTTATCTTTGAGCTGTGTCTAATATAACCTGGTATTTGGTTTGTTCTCTTTATCTACGTGCTGTAAATCGCCCTGTGTGTTGTGTTCACAGACGCCATCGGAAACAAGAGGTCCAGTGTGTGCTCAATGCGCGGCTCCACTTCCACCGAGATGAGAGGGGCGGAGCCAAGGGGGCGGAGCAGAGAGCTGGACACACCCACGGTAACCTTGTTTGAGTCTGAATAGAGGAATAAAGTTACTCAAGACATTTGTCGACTTGGAATTTGCTTTGATTATATGGTGCATCAAAACAACATATTACTAATAAAAACAGGAGAGCGAACAGATAAGAATGATGTGGACATTAAAGTCATATAAAAGTAAAAAAACGAGCTGGATTTTGTGGTGAAAAATGTTGTTTCCGATTGTTTTGTGCATTAGTTACTGTGTGGTATTTGGTTTAGATCGACCGCACACTTTTTATGTGTGACAAAAAGGCCCGGATTCAGTTCATGTGAGAATTGTCTTTGAAAAACAAGACATTTTGGTCTGTCCCATTGGAAAAACTTGTTTTCTCTCATGTTGTGCATTTAAACAAAAATCTAGCACTACTGATGCTTTTATATTTCCTTTTATTGCGACGTTATTGCTAGATTATTTGCAACAATTTTCTAAAAGATTTAAAATTCATACTTTTTTTAAATCTGGGAACAAAGATGTGAAAATGCTGTGATCGGAGATTGTTCCATCACTCATGATAAGTCCAGGGTCAGTGTTTACATGAGCAGGCAGCAGGCTTCAGAAGTGTGTTACAGTGTTGTGTGGGTGTGTGCAGGAGAAGACCCAGAGGCGCTGCACGTACTCCGGCAGCAGCAGCGAGACCCAGACCGAGGCCGAGCTGGAGTCACAGCGGAGCAAGAGGAACAGCAACACAGGTTATACAGACTTCTATTCTTTCTAACTATCTTCTGTCTAAAAGCTAATGGGAAGTTTGCCAAGTCACAGCATGCAAAAAGCTGAACGTATTAATCAGATCCAAACACGTTGGTATCTAACTTTTGCTTTTCAATACAGGACTTTTAATAACAGTACATCAGATTTCACCCATTTGTCATTGTACACATGGAGGAAACTGGGGGTTGTTGTCCTGTATAACCTGATTTGAGCATTTTGACATTATTCAACCCAGAACACAATTTTTATATTCTCCAGTTTTTCTTTCAATTCTGGTTTCTATTAAAGTAGTGGCAAGTGGTGACATTTTGATTCATAGCTTTTCTCAGGATTTGAAATAATCTATAAATCTAAATTATTATCTGCCAGAGACGCACAAATTCATCTTAAAGTGGTGCGGGATTTAAAAAAAGAAAAATGCTATTTAAATGTTGTTAGTCCTCTACCTGTAATTAAAGTGCATTCCCATTAAAATACTTAAATCTCTCAAGACATTAGTTTCAGATATTCTAAGATAGTCTAATATTCTGTTTAATACCACTGTAGAAGTTTCTTAACAAGTGTGCGTCTGTTGCCCCCACAGTGGAGCAGAGTGAGCAGACCCTGAAGAGGTGCAGCGTGGGTACTGGTCTCTCCATCATGGACTACTACCAGCATGAAGTGTTCCCCTGTCTGGAGGAGGCCAAGAGACTGTCCCGCTACAGCCTGCTGCACCAGGAGGGGGCGCTGGAGGGGAAACCTGCCGACCGCCTGAGCGTAAGTCCGATCCTCCTCTTCTCGTGTAGAATCTGTAATATTTCTGACGTTTATTGTGATGGATGAAGTGTTTTGTGCAGACTTAAACTGCACATGCGTCATTGGTACCGTAAGTTTGACAGATTCATATTATTAATGTAGGCCCTTAGAGGAGAAATATTATGCATTATTTTTGGCCGTTCAAAATGATAATGAGACCATTTACTCTGTAATTTCACATTATATAAGAAAGTAAGAAGAAAGAAGGGTAAAACATGCTATTAGCCTGCCCTTTCCCGATGTGACCTCTGTATCTTTTGTTTTTAACCAAATTCAAAGATTACAGACTGCAATTGTGAAGTGTATTTAACAGCTGCATAGTTAAAGTTGACTTACTTGTTGATACAGTGAGTAGGACTGTGTTACAACATCAGACGCTGTTTTGTTTGTCTTCAGTTGATTTTATATCATGTTCCGTTAGTGTTGGCCAACCTTCTTGAGCCGTCGGACACCATTTTCCTATGAAACAAGCACATGGCTCTCCACATGCTGAAACTGTGGAGAGCCAATTATTACTTTATTAACAAGACATTCTCAAAGTTTGTTATACGGGGGCGACAGTAGCTCAGTTGGTAGAGTATTGGCCTTTGAGCCACAAGGTCGTGGGTTCGAGCCCACTGACGTCTGCTGTTGTTGTGTACTTGGCAAGACACTTACTGTAACCTCTGGGAACACCAGCCACAGTGGGGCGGCTGCGGCTGTAAAGTGTCAAACTGCCGTTGTGTCCTTAGGCAAGACACTTCACCCCCATTGCTTAGAATGAGTCTGGTGTGTGTGTGAATGGTTGGTGGTCGGAGGGCACATACTGGTTGCCTCGCTTCTGTCAGTGTGCCCCAGGGCAGCTGTGGCTACATTAGTAGTTTATCACCACTGTGTTTGGAGTGAAAGAATGACATGTAAAGCGTCTTTGAGTGTCCAAAAAAGTGCTATATAAAACCGATGCATTATTAAAGAAAAACCAAACAAAAAGATGATATTGGATCATTGTTTCATTGTATATATTTGTTTCATTGTATATATTTTGATTTATTTTTTGAATATTCTCTAAAAAAAAACACAGATTCTGCGAACAATGTGTTTCATAAAAGCTGATGATTGGGTGTTGATTGTTAAGAATTCAGTATTGATCTTGGGTGCGAGGTCGCATGTCGGAGGTGGCCGGGCCTTGCCATTTCACGGTGGCTGCTCCTCATTCGTCCTTCACTGCGCTTTAAATACTGGTAGGCAAATTCTCGCTGACACCTGGGCGCGCCGATCGAAAGCAATTAAGCCGCTTTCTCTATATCAAAACCCGCAAACAATCCAGAGGAGAAAAACATTGACTTTTGGAACACGGCGCCGGGGAGTGCTAATACTTCCACACAGGTAGAAAAGTCTGTCACGCAATCAAAATTCAATATATCCCGCTCCACGCTTCTGCCGCTAGAAGACGATTATGTAGACGGCGTGACAGTGAGTGTGTGGAAGGCCTGAAAATAGTCAATACTTTTACATGTTGACGACAGAAGCAGCTTGATTAAGATGTCTCCAGAGCAGCGCTGGGAGAACACAGAAGAAAAAAACATCTACAGACGTTAGTGAGTTCAGAGCGAAATGTGAGCTTTTTCATGGGTGAATATGGTTTAGAATGAACTACCTTTTCAATAGATTAGTCTGCTGCAGGTCTGAGGAATTTATAACGTAAGGAGGATTCCATTCAATTTATTCTTGCATAGCCCTAAATCACAACAGTATCTCGGAGGACATTGCAAAACTGTTGAATTTGCCGACACGGATCAGGGAATCAAGAAATTAAACATTAAACACATTGGTATTGGTCCATAAGTGCTAAATGTCCATGAATGAGGAGATTTGTCTAATAAAATTGTCCGCAAACTTCACATCTGAAGGTCATCACTTTGCATTTGTTTTATTGATAGTTTGGCTTGATGGCTGAAATTGTCTAATGATCTCAATGAAGTACTGGGATGTGCTTTGGGATAAATGGTAGGTGAAAAGACAGATTTCCAAACCTGGCATATGAAATGTAGATGCCCGTTGAGACAGGTTTATGCATATTCAGTTGCAGCAGAATTAAATTGTTTTTCTATGACTTGGTTTGAAATAACGAGAATAGACTATAGACTGTCTGTTATTGCATCTTTGCTGTAATTTATTGCATTGTATTTATCCATTTATTCATCTAACCATGGACTGCAGACGGAAATTAGCTCTGTAGCTCCAATCTGGTGCAGAATATATTTGTTTTTGAGCTTATTTTACTGATATTGCACTGTTCCTTTCAAATAAAGACTGAACTAAACTTTGGACAACATAAAGTTTGCAAGATCTACAAGGATTGGTTGAAAATGGCCTTAAATTAATTGCGTCTAACGAGGCCGTTATACTTCAAAGTTGCAAGTATTGAGGCTCACTTTGAAATAGGAGTATTGCCACCTAAAGAAAAAAAAAAAAACATTACAAAAAGTGGTATCTCATTGTTGATGTGAGACCAGCTCCTTCGCTCTGCCCTTGGCCACAATCCCTTTAAGCACTCCGATCATTTTTCCATGACCTTCCTGAAATCGAATCTGACCAAAAGAGAATTTCAATCACGTATTGTATGGTGCTGGGGTTCGGGGCCAATCGATGTCCAGTCTTTCCCCCCCTAACCATAAGTAAGTCCAGATTTAGGCAGGCATCCCATTGTTTCTGGATGTCCGAATGAAGCCTCGACGTTTGTGAGAGCTAGTCCTCAAGGAGCTAAATTTTTACATAGAGTGGGAGCTTTTTAGGCGCATACTATCAATGGAAGAAGCAAAGCAATAATCATTGTGGCAGAGTAGATGGTGCTTGATGTGAAAAGTTTGAGAACCACAGCAATAGGCCATTACCGGTCAGGACGGGGTTTGAAAGGTCAACGTTGCTCACAGGAAAACGACAGAGCATGGGGCCAAATGAGTAGGAAAACATGGGTAAGTAACGACCCAGGCACTGAGTGAAAATGTCAGGCTAAAAACTGGTTAACCTGGGCAGCTGCGAGCAAACAAGACGAAGGCAATTTACAGTAGAGAATTTGAAGCACCCTGCAGTATTTGAATGGTAAAATCTCAGTTTTATAAGAATGTTATGAAAAAGTAAATTTGTCTGCTCAGTTTCTTCAAACCAACTCATTGATTTGTCCTCTCTTGAGTAAAAGCATCTAAAAAAGCATCCAACTGCTAAGAGAAAAATGTAAGTTGTATAGAATGGATTCAAACTGGTCAAACAAGGCCGTCTGGATATACAGTATCTGTGAGCTGCGATCTTACTGTAACTTCATGGTTGTAACGAAAAACTCGGTCAAACCTTAAATAACTCATCCTTAAATATCATCTCTACTGCGCAGAAACACTGGGATATTTATGAAACCTATTTAGTTTCAATACTTAAAAATACAAGCAGTTTCTGGTTACATTTTAAACTGCTAATGCATATTTTCAGGCATACATTACAATCGATTAAGTTTTGTTAAAGTTGCACACTAGACAAAAATTTCTTACCAGAAGCTTCCAAAAACAAGACCAAAAGTGAAGTGCACGTAGTGGTTAACAGTTTGCCACTAAAAAGTTTTCCACTAAAATCCCTCAAAGCTTTAAAACAAAAAAATGTGTACTACAATGTGCAAGAGTGCTGTTGTTTGAGATCTTTGATAGTATGACCAATCCTTGGATCATAAATCTCATGTTTGCACTGTTAGAAAGTTGAAAAATATCTTCATTGCAGTCTTTTCTGTTAAAATTATGCAACGTGAGAGACATGCAGTCACCCAACAAGCCAAACATTTCTCTAGACTTTATTCCCAAAGTGTGTGGCGTCTGAAGCAATGATGGATGAGCTCTGGTGAACTCATTTACCCCACATTATCCTCATGAAAATACGCTTCATCTTTCACCCGTTCACCTGCGCGGTCGTCAACGGACACTTGGACATTGTCTTAAACCGTAGACTTTTTTTCGTTCCGTTTTTTTCCTCTTTCTTTTGATTTCGGAGGCTCTAATAACCTTTCACAAATGCTCAGGAGAGTGATGTAGAAGCGCCATAGCCCGCGCTGGACCACCATTCATCATCCTGACAGCACCTGACACCAGCGCTAACACCCGCTAACGCTAGCCCAGCCAGCCCCCCCTCCTCACGTTAGCCTGGCTCTGTACCCTTCACGCACTCCTCCTCCTCCTCTCGCACTTTTGCCAACAACTCTGTTTACAGTAGAGAAAACAGAAGTCAGCCTCTGTCCTTGAGATGTGGCCGTTTTGAGTTGTATAGGCAATCGTCTAACTGTGGTGGAAAAGGCTTTGGTTATCAAGATATTGAAAGAGAAAAGCATTCATTCAGACCTTCAGACATGGGACAAAAGCAAAGGCTAAAATTGTCTTTCAGTATTTCAGCAGGTGCCAAAAGAACTCAATGAGAAAGAAGCAAAGGTCCAAAAGAAAATGTCCCAATGTTTTCCCAGATCATTATATAATAGTGATTAGATTCACAAATTTGACATTTTTTCTCATAACTGAGTTCTTGGCCAACATCATGCATGTTTTTGAATATTTTCACCGCTTCCAGACATTGTATGAGAAAATAAATATACCATAGTTGACTTGAAATGTACTGTCAGTAAAGCTGTGGAACCTTGTGACATTATAAATGTTATGTGGATGGGTCTAATATCAAACTAAGACTAAAATCTTACTTTTGACAGATGTTTTAGCTGCCTTTCACCACAATGTGAAACTATAGGCTCTTAGCAATATTGTGAAGTCACATGAAGTTGATTTGAAATGTAAAGAATTAAAAGTGTATTTTACTACACGGAACATGCTCAGACCTTGCAATAGTCTGTAGAGATGTTGTCATATCTTTTATCAAGCCAAAACGCTTTCCAAATACTTTTCCACACACTCTCCTCCTATTGAGGACAAACAATCTCAAGGAAGTTTGAACTTTGAGAAGGGTTCACACCGAGCGGATGGCTTCAATTCAGTTGGAGCCATCCTCTTGGATGCAAATGCATCCAAGAGTCTCCTAAAGTTAGTGAGAGCAACCTCGTCTGATGCTTGTTTTAAAGAAATTCTAAAGGTGTCAAATTTGTTCATTCAACTGGAAAAGAATAAATAAAATTGTTCCAGAATAAAATAGTTGGAAGAAGCTAGAAAGTGAAATAGAGGCTACGAAGAGCAATATTGACCGATTGTGGATGGCTTTTGTCTTGAAGGTTTAACCGATTGATAAAAATATAATAAAGTCCATCAGTTGTCAACCTGTATCAAAAATGTCTTTGATCACCGTGATTATTCTGATCGAGAGCTCTTAGAATATTCATTGGCTTATTAGTTTATGCGCATTGCGGCATGTCTAATAACATGAGTGCGTGCTTCAGTAAACAATTAGCAGAAGAGAAAAAACAGACCTGTCTATCAAAGTCCCCTCACGCACGGCACCGGCGGTTAATTGGCCATGAACAAAGCCATTAATGAAGTGTTCAACCTCCTGCAGTTGTCTTAGAGTTGGCATACTTCAATCCTGGCTTTGGTTCTACACAGAGAAAAAAATCCGATACGTGGCAAGAAGTCAACTGAAAGCTGTTGAGTCTGAACAGCACAAATTGTTTTTTTCCCGATGAAGATAACACTAATACAGCTGTAATTTACACTGAACCATCTCAATTAATTGCTACAGGTCGACTGGATGTTGCGGTGTCATCTGAACTCCAGCAGTAATAGGGCTCATTGGGAGTTGAGACGCACCAATTTCAACATTTCCACCATTTTGCTTCCCAAGCTGCAAATATTTATCTCTACTTCTCTCAAGATATACGTCCCCCCCCCATGCTGGCGGCCCCCGTGGGTCTGGAGTTTCATTGCAGAGCGCCTGAGTGGTTTATACCCGGGACGGCGCTGAGAGAATGCAGTTAGGACGGAAGCTTCACGCCCCCGGGCTAGCAAGGTTCAGGACCGGCCTCAACTCCCGTCGTCCACAGAGTTTGGAGTGTCAATCCCCAGACTTTTTAAAGAACTTTGAAAGAAATAAACGTGTGAAGGGTTTCTCAGCTGATGATCCGCAGAAATTTGTTTTTTACGCAAAATCGATTAAAAAAAATATTTCTGTAGCAAAAAATCCTGACCTGATTGGGCAAAACCAAGGTCATTTTCGGACTCAGAGCATCAAAATTAGTCTAATTCAGCTGGAAAACCCTGGACTTTTTTCAAAAAATGTTTTTTTGTTACCCAGTGTTATAGCTCCAGAGTTTCATTTTATTCTAATTGATGATGTTTTTACATATTATTTTAACTTCATCATCCTAAATAATGGATCCTGTTTGATGTGTACAATCTCTTTTTTCCTACATTTTATTCTGCTGTAATGTGCGCAACGATTGCATTGAAATGTCCTTTTTATCCGTCACTTTCTTACACCAAATTCACACATTTTCTGGTTTTCTGGTTGCTTAATTCTCAACATTCCCAAACTTATGATACTAGTTTTAGCTGATGTTCTGAAAGTGCCCAAGATTTATTTTTGAATAATGCATCTTTTATTTTCGATCCACCTGTCACTCTCACAGACTAAAGTGTTCTAAGTAATCATGACCGAGTCGTTATTAAACCATTTACATTGAGCAACATCTGTCATTTGTCTTTCAGGAATCACCGGAGACTGGAGGAACCATCTCTCTGAGGAGCAGGCCCAGCACTTTGATTCTGTCTATGAAGAGAAAATGAAAGATGTGGATTTCAAATTCAACTGGGATTAAAATCATGTAAAAATGAGTTTTATTTAGAATTTGTCCATACAATCTCTTGATCAACCAGTTAAAGTATATTATTGTGGCAAGCTGGATGTAAACGTGACTTTTGCGTCCAGGTGAGGGCGCTTTTGCTCTGAATATTCACTCTATGCTTGAAATGCAACACCTGCAGGCCATTTTTATTGTCATAATTAGCCATAAATGCATAAGGACTTGTTCAGATCAATACATATTTTGCAATATTTAGTCATTCTGAGTTTTTTTTTTTTTACACGCTGCAGCTTAAAGGATCATGGGCGATGTTTACAATGTACTGTGTCAGTTTTTCTCTGCATCAGGGCTTGTGTGTGGCCCTGATGCCCCACTAGTCCTGCATCCTTTGGCCTCCATTCAACCTACGCTCAACCCACTCAACCATTCCGCTCAACCAATCCGCTCCGACCCGTCCTGCTCCACCCAGAGGCTACTCCATCTCTGCTGCTGTGACCTGAAGGTCTGTTGCTGATTATTACTATTGTTAGCTTTTTAGAATGATCAATTTTGTTTTTCATTTTTGCTGCTACCGGACACCTACATTTCTCCTACGGGGATCTATAAAGGATCTATCTATTCGTTGTCCTGTCGCTTTGGCGTCTGTGCTAGAGTGAGTCGGTTCTGTAATGCATCAGTGTGTGCTCAGCGTTTGCCCCAAGCTCCAATGATGGGCGGCACGGTGGCTAAGTGGATATAGCACTCTCGCTTCTCAGCAAGAAGGTCCTGGGTTAGAATCGGTCGGAACGGGGCCTTTCTGAGTGGAGTTTGCATGTTCTCCCCGTGTCTGTGTAGGTTTCTTTCCCTTACCACTAACAACATGCACAATAGGACAATCCGAATATGTGTGAAAGTTGTAGGTGCTCTGTCAGCTGAGGTTGAGCTGTTGTAGCTCAACTACTATAAGAAAGATTTCTGGGTAGCTCAATTAGTCTCGTTTAGTCTTCAGTACCGCAAGAATCCCCCGAGTCATTCAGCTCTAAGCTAGTACAGTAATACCCTATCCAGATATTATGATAGATCTGTGGTTTGCCCTAAATAAGCTATGAAATGTGTAACTTATTTAAATAAATGAGATCCATGCTAAATAATGGAATAATGTTCCTTTTGTCAAATCTCTTCTAAACTTAACTCACTGCGGTTCTATTTTTAACTAGAACCGCACTTTAATATCCAATTGCTCCAATATATCCATGTTGTCTTGTCCGTCCACAATCAAACACAATAGATGTATATTTGTTTATTTTCCCAAACAAACTCCATTACTCCAATGCTCTCTCTCCTGGCTAGCTTGCCACTTTATGTGCCACTAAATGTACTATACATTTAAGGTCGTTGTTAGGCTAGAGAATCTCAGAAGATTGGTGTGACTCGCAGAGAGAGAGGCGGAGGCTAGAGATTTGCTTTTAACTAGTTAGTTTGTATTTACATTTATGTGTATGGACAAGACAGACGTATAACAATTATCACAAGTGCTAAAAATGAATGGCCATTTACTGCAAATACACAATAATAAATCCCAGGTGTTATATACAGTGTAAGCGTAACAATAAATCAACATTAGAAAAACAAAGGGAAAATTTCAACCGCACAGATTGAGTAGTCCAGTTCCTAGGGACACGGCCCCTTGATTACGAAAGCACTGCTCTGTTCTTTAGCACAGATGGAGCGACAAAGTTCATACGGCCCAAAAGTTTGAATATAATCCAGAGGAAGGATGTGGAAGGAAGGGAATGAATATTATTGGTTGAAGGCCGCAGAGTAAAGTGTGAGTAGTGCAATCGAGTGAGGGGTGGCTGCGAGAGCCTCCTACCAGCCCGGACAGAGCAGTAGGTGGGGTCCTCAAAGGAATCTCCCGGTGAGTTATCTCTGGGCTAGAAGCCTTTTCCTTAGCTTGCCATCATTCAAATGTGGCCTGTGTAAAAACAGCAGAACCATCTAAATCAATTCATGTGTACACAATCTCGTATCTCGTTCATTCTAAATAAATAACACTTTTTGTATCATAAAGACCTGAGATATCTCTCTATCAAGTATCAATATTGCACAATATAATTCAAAAAGACTAGTCATATCAATGTATCAAAAATACTAGAGTATAGTGCTAGAGAATAAAATATAAGCAATAGCAGCATATACAATTCAACTCATCTTCAATTCATGTATATAAAAACAAATACACAAGTAGAATACAGATGATGCAAAAGTACATATAGCTATTCCCAAAGTGAGTAACTCTAGTGAAACTGCTATGCATTTAAGCAGACCATATTATCATAATGCTGACTAAAAAACGCCATGTGCATATATAATAGTTCTAACTATCATTTGGTAATAAAAACAGGCATTGATCATCATAATTCATTCATTTACGTCATGGATACACGGATTGAATGTGGAGCGGCAAGCGCTAAAAATGCATTGACTCCACTTTCTAAACACTCAAAGCTCAATCGGACAACGATCCGGTGAGCGAGTTCTACTTACTTATAGATCAAAATGCTTGAAAGTGGGCGTGGATTCACAATAAAAGGCCTCTGCGGGATGTCTAAAGTTCCAAATACAGACACATTTCTCGTAGTGTTTCTGAGGAAGGATTGCTTAGATATAATCAACGTAAAGTCAGACGTGTTGTTGCTGTTCCAAATACTGTCTGTGCCTCGCGAACTGTTTCCCACTACACTGATCTGAACAGCTGCAAGGTGCGCAGTTTAACCTGGAGCTGGGGTGGGACTGTGTTGTTTTCATTCACTAAACATGCTCACAACAGCAATGTACAGTACAAACACATGACCAGTGCCTGCTCTCAGACACTGTTCTTATATACTACAGTCATAAGAAATGTTGATTTAGAAAAGCAAATCACATGTGGAATTAATGCTGTAGGTGATCGCTATCACAAACCAGGAAAAGGACATTCGGGTTGTATGATTGAGCAATAATGTGACTAAAAATGAGCATGCAACTGTGACAGGACGAACGTGTGTGTAAAACATGACAGCAGCAAGAGGTTGTCACTGAAAGACGACAGCAGATGGTCAAACAAATATTGCATTTGTAAAGTGGGCTGGATCCACCTGCGTGTTTGCGTACGCGCACCCCGCTACATCTTTGAAATGCGCTGCTTTCGTGGCGATTTCATGACACTCTTCGTGTGCCCTGCTGCTTATTTAACATGCCCTAAAGCTAACGTTGCTCTGGACCTGGCCCCGAGTTTGTACATTGCTATTGTGAGCGCGTTTAGTGAGTGGACACACCACTGTCCCACCTCAGCTCCAGGTTAACTTGCAGACCTTGCAGCTGCTCAGGTTAGTGCTGTGGGACGCTGTTGCCATTGACTCAGTCATTAGATATGTTGTTCAGGTTATACTCCCCACAAATGAACAACTTTGACAATAAACTGTGACGGAGCAACGCGTTTAAAACATGTCCGCAGGTTAATCTGCCGCTGTCCACCGCACCACGTACAAAACCGCGTCCAAACACATGATCTATGTTAGCCTGGCCATAGCCATCCGTACACTCCGCTCAATCATCATTTCACTGCATGTAACGTCTGGGTCTGGTCCCTGTGTTAGCGAAGACAATCAGTCGTATTTCGACCGGCTACTCAGAGAGCGCGGAAGGCGGGTGTTGTAGGTCGGTGCCGGTGACGTCAAGAGTTTCCGCCGAACGGGCAGGTTGTAGTTTGGCAATGGCGAACAATGCGATAGTAAAGTAATCCGGTCTGGTTCTATCAAGAAATTGAAGCCGGAGCAAGAGGAATGTTTAGCAAATGTAATCGCTGGTCAAGATTGTGGTGCTACTCCCCACGGGCTCCGCTAGCAGCAAAGGAGATGGCTAGGCTAAATGCTAAATGCTAACAACACACTCGGGTGCACTACAAACTCAGATCCAATCGTTTCAATCTGCAAAAGGAGTTAAACCCTCCCACCTGTTCACGGAGCTCAGTGGAGCACCTCCAGACCTTAGTATTAAATGTAATTTGTACTAAGGTGTGGTACATTTAGATCTATGTGTCTGTCTGCGCTTTTGAAATGTCAGTGAGGGACGAGGCACAGGGGGCAGATGATGTACCATTCTATTGTCAATTATATTGCTTTACAATGCACTGGAGACATTCAAAGATGTAGCGGGGTGCGCGTACGCGCAAGTGGATCTAGCCCACTCTACAAATATTGTATTTGTAGGGGGATCATGTGTTTGGACGCGGTTTTGTACGTGGTGCGGTGGACAGCGGCAGATTAACCTGCTGACGCGGCTCCAGATCCTCTTTCAGAGACGTCTCTGCTGCATTTCTCTTGCATCACGCTGCGGACATGTTTTAACGCGTTGCTCCCTCACAGTTTATTGTCAAAGTTGTTCATTTGTGGGGAGTATAACCTGAACAACATATCTAATGACTTAGTCAATGGCAACAGCGTCCCACAGCACTAACCTGAGCAGCTGCAAGGTCAGCAAGTTAACCTGTGTTTGACCGTCTGCTGTCGTCTTTCAGTGACAACCTCTTGCTGCTGTCATGTTTTACACACACGTTCGTCCTGTCACAGTTGCATGCTCATTTTTAGTCACATTATTGCTCAATCATACAACCCGAATGTCCTTTCCCTGGTTTGTTCTTATGACTGTAGTATATAAGAACAGTGTCTGAGAGCAGGCACTGGTCATGTGTTTTTCTACATTGCTGTTGTGAGCATGTTTAGTGAATGAAAACAACACAGTCCCACCCCAGCTCCAGGTTAAACTGCGCACCTTGCAGCTGTCCAGATCAGTGTAGTGGGAAACAGTTCGCGTTTTTGTATTTTTGAATCTGCTGGATGTGTGTCACCACCATCACCAGGTCCTAATGAAAGATTGCATAAAAGAGGCACAAAACACACCGAATTCCAAATAGTCCAAAGCTCCAATCCAAGGAAGTGACAAAATTACCTCTTGTCCTACAGCCTCTTCCACTCCCCCTTTTGGTCATGTGTTTGCAACCCAGCAATAGGGTTAGGGTGTCCTCCCCATTTGCAACATCCCACCCACTCCTACTGTCTGTAGATGTATGTTATATGTTGTTAGAACTCCAATATGGCTGATCCTAACTTCTACTTCATGTACAAGGGAATGTATATGCCCAGGGTATTCTACTCTCCAGAAGGACTGAAGTACTGGGAAGAGTTCTCATTCCAACCTGATGATGTCATTGTATCGACATATCCCAAATCAGGTACTTTTTTTTTTTTTTGCTCGGTGGAAATGTCCCTCTGGTCTTACAACTGGTCAGGCCTGATTCTACAAATGATTGCGTCTGTGTAGAACACTGGCGGAGTGACAGCTCGGGAAGGGTTGTATGTATGTATGTAAGGGTTATTGTACAATGTACTGTAGTATTCCAACTCTAGTCCAAGTGCGTTGTTAAATTTTTGCTAAATTGGAGGACAACACCTTATCATGAAGGCCCCAAGGTTTACATGTGTTTTGCTAATTTCATTTATATTGGACTAAGGCCAGTTATATACAGTGGGGCAAAAAAGTATTTAGTTAGCCACCGAATGTGCAAGTTCTCCCACTTAAAATAATGACAGAGGTCTCTAATTTTCATCATAGGTACACTTCAACTGTGAGAGACAGAATGTGATGGAAAAAAACAGGAATTCACATTGTAGGATTTTTTAAGAATTTATTTGTAAATTATGGTTAAAAATAAGTATTTGGTCACTTCAAACAAGGAAGATCTCACAGACCTGTAACTTCTTCTTTAAGAAGCTCTTCTGTCCTCCACTTGTAACCTGTATTAATGGCACCTGTTTGAACTCCCTATAGGGAGTTTATCCAGATATATCTGTATAAACCCCCCGCTGAAAGATCAAGGCCGTTTCACAATTGACGGAGCAGCCATCTTCCTGTGGACTCACCCCCTGCAGAAGATCAGCGAGGGACTGGTGCTATGAGCGTTGGGTGGCAGCTCTCATTGCCACCCCCCCGACCCAGAAATGGACAAAGGGGTTGAAAATGAAATGAAATGAAATGAAAAAATATCTGTATAAAAGACACCTGTCCACAGCCTCAAACAGTCAGACTCCAAACTCCACTATGGCCAAGACCAAAGAGCTGTCAAAGAACACCAGGAAAAGAACTGTAGACCTGCACCAGACTGGGAAGAGTGAATCTACAAAAGGCTAGCAGCTTGGTGTGAACAAATCAACTGTGGAAGCAATTATCAGAAAATGGAAGACATAAAAGACCACTGATAATCTCCCTTGATCGCAAGATCACATCCCGTGGGGTCAAAATGATCATGATAACGGTGATCAAAAATCCCAGAACCACACGGGGGGACCTGGTGAATGACCTGCAGAGAGCTGGGACCAAAGTAACAAAGGTTACCATCAGTAACACACTACGACGACAGGGAATCAAATCCTGCAGTGTCCCCCTGCTGAAGCCAGTGCATGTCCAGGCCCGTCTGAAGTTTACCAGAGAGCACATGGATGATACAGCAGAGGATTGGGAGAATGTCATGTGGTCAGATGAAACCAAAGTAGAACTGTTTGGTATAAACTCAACTCGTCGTGTTTGGAGGAAGAAGAATACTGAGTTGCATCCCAAGAACACCATACCTACTGTGAAGCATGGGGGTGGAAACGTCATGCTTTGGGGCTGTTTTTCTGCTAAGGGAACAGGATGAAGATCCGTGTTAAGGAAAGAATGAATGGGGCCATGTATCGTGAAATTTTGAGCCAAAACCTCCTTCAATCAGTGAGAGCTTTGAAGATGAAACGTGGCTGGGTCTTCCAGCATGACAATGATCCCAAACACACCGCCCGGGGAACGAAGGAGTGGCTCCGTAAGAAGCATTTGAAAGACCTGGAGTGGCCTAGCCAGTCTCCAGACCTCAACCCCATTGAAAATCTTGGAGAGAGTTGAAAGTCCGTGTTCACTGCTCTCGAGAAGATCTGCATGGAGGAATGGGCCAAAATACCAGCTACTGTGTGTGCAAACCTGGTAAAGACCTTTAGTAATCGTTTGACCTCTGTTATTGCCAACAAAGGTTATATTACCAAGTATTGAGTTGAATTTTTGTTATTGACCAAATACTTATTTTCCACCATAATTTACAAATAAATTCTTCTTCTTCTAAATATCCTACAATGTGAATTCCTGGATTTGTTTTTCCACATTCTGTCTCTCACAGTTTAAGTGTACCTGTGATGAAAATGACAGACCTCTGTCAATATTTTAATTGGGAGAACTTGCACAATCGGTGGCTGACTAAATACTTTTTTGCCCTACTGTAGTTATGTTTTGACTGGCTGCAGGTACAAACTGGGCACTGGAGTTGGTGCCCTTGGTGCTGTCTGGAGGACAGCCCGGCCTGGTGGCCTCAGTACCCACCTGGGAGCGCACAGTGAACATGGGTGACAAGAACATCTTCCATACCGACCTGGAAGCCTGGCCTTCCCCGCATGTATTTGCCACACACTTCCGTTATGACATGATGCCCAAGTCCTTCTATTCGGTCAAGCCCAAGGTGTGAACAGCTCATCATGCTAAGGAAAATATGATTGTATTCGGAATGACATCCTGCATTTCCTTGCAGGTGATCAATGTTATGAGGAATCCCAAAGACATTTTGATATCAGCACATCACTATTACACAAAAGCACACTTCCACAGTACCCCTGGTCCACTGACAAAGTTTCTTCACCAGTTTCTGCAAGGAGACGGTAAACTCACACTCTTTGGTACAAAGTAACGGTAGAGCTGAGACGGTTTACGCCACTCTTTTGCCGAACCTCATTTTTGGGCAGCTAGACATACCTTGACTGAATGTTCCCCTATTATTCTTATGTTGGGTCTTGAACTTTAGTTTCATCTGGATAAACTGTAGCCCTTCACCTCTACAACTGAGCCCTTGTCTACTAGAGCCACGACCTAGCAACAACTCATGAAACAAACATCAAACCTAATAACCTATACTGGCTCCACAAGACATGGATCAAGTCTGTAGAATAAGGCCAGAAACACCATAGTGACTCTTTTTGGTCAGCTCCAATGCAGACCAGCATTACCAGCTTGCATTCCAGTCGCCTGCAAAAAGATATTATTATTAGGTCATAGTGAAGAAAATGAGAAAAGATGGTGGTCTGGGCTTGTGTCACAGCAGACATCTTATTGTTGGTACAAAGATACAAAAAAAGATTTGGAGCGTGCATGTGATTTTATACCAGAACCATCAAGGAAGCATCAAGCTCCTCTGACCATATGTGTTATCTAATCTAACCTTATTAGTGCCGCGGAATATTTTCATGGACCGGCATCCTAACCCTATACCCCCCATCTCCTATCTCTGCTGTTAGCGGACAGTGATTTTCATTTTGCTTATTCATGTGTTCCCTCCTAGTTTCGTACGGTTCCTGGTTTGATCACGTGAAAGGCTGGCTCAATGCGGAGGACAAGTCTCACATTCTGTACCTGACCTACGAGGAGATGACACAGGTGAGGTGTGTCTTCTGTCACTCCGGAGGCAAAAAGCAGCCACTCGGATCATAAGCGTTACAGTAACCTCATCTACATCTCTGACCAGTGCTGTCATTGTGTGAGCTGTCATCACAGAACAGCTGCAATCCTATAGAGATTTGTTTATACTCTTTCATGTTTAAGTGGACATTTGATCCAACGTTGAACCCGTCATCCTCAGGAAACTTCTAAAGGGTATTGATTGCAACCATAAAAAATACACCTAAGACGCTAATCAATCAACTTTTATTTTTATAGCGCCTTTCCTACACAAGGAAACACAAAGCGCCTCACAACCCACATCTTATCAAGCAAATCATAGACATTAAAATCTACATATACATTTAAAAAAAACACACACATAAAATTAAAAACAGAATAAAATCCCAAGTAATTAAAAACCTTAAAACATTAAAAACACACGGGATTAAAATAATAAATAGCCACAATGCATAAAAAAAGAGAATCCATAAAATCCTTCAGTTGTATGCACAGCTAAACAGAACTGTTTTTAACCTGGATTTGAAAACTGCCAGAGTAGATGCCAGTCTCACATCTTCAGGAAGATTGTTCCAGATTTTAGCTGCATGAATCTGAAACACTGCCTCCCCATGTCTAGTTCTGACTCTTGGAACCAGCAAGAGGCTACCTCCTGTGCTCCTCAGAGTCCGGGCCGTTTCATATGGCACCAACATGTCGCTTAAGTACTTTGGTGTAATCTCAATCTGTAACTGAAATGAAATGCAAGTGCAAGAAATACACTTATACATCAGTAGATAAAACTGTGAAAAATAAATAAAATTAAAAGCAATGTTTCTGGTTGAGACGTTGTGAAATTGTCTTTTGCATATTTGATCAGGATCTGCAGAAAGTGGTCAGAAGAGTCGGCGAGTTCTTGGAGAAGCGTCTGGACGATGAGGCTGTGGACAAGATCGCAGAGATGTGTTGTTTTCAGAGCATGAAGGAAAACAACACGAAGAGAGACCACGGGAAGAAAGACCAGGCCAAAATACCTGTGATTGACCATTCTACATTTTACCGGAAAGGTAATAGTGACTTCCTGCTGACGATACACTGCACCACATTAGGACAAACATTATGTAAAGTCGGATTTTTCATGTAACTGTACTCAAAAACAGATTGTTAGCTTCATCCCTGCTAATGAGACGGAGCTAACACCCATCCTTTTTGTTGATGTTCTCTGTTGTCCAACTTGTTACGCTTTTCGCCAAAATCCAGGCATGCGAAGCTCTTCACGTAGGGGCTCAAGGGGTTTGATTCACTTGTTTCCTACAGACTCTTTCTGCATGAATAGTGTAGTCGATAAGATAAGATAAACATTATTGATCTCACAATAAAGAATTTTACTTATTACTTATTTTTATTTTTATTAGTAAAACTTTCTTTTTCATCACAAGTTCTTCTCACGGGAAACCTTAGTCAACATTCTTCTTTCATTTGTCTTTCAGGGATCACTGGAGACTGGAAAAACCATCTCTCCGAGGAGCAGGCCCAGCAGTTTGACTCTGTGTTTGAAGAGAAAATGAAAAATGTGGATTTCAGATTTTTTCCGTGATTAAAATGATTTTATGATTGAATTTTGTGTTGATTTTTTCAGGAAAAACTCTGGATTAGAACTTTGAGCCACTTTGAAAACCAAATAGAAAAATCAGATTATCTTAATGTCAGAGCTTTAGTTGGCTCACTGTGAAAATATGCATAGAGAGAAGTAGAAGTAAACAAGTCCAGGAACAGTGTTGGTTTTAAACAATAATGAACTCTGAACCTGTGAAGGACATTTTTATTTCAAGAATGCCTAAAATCATGACAATATGATTATATATCTAAAAAGACGTATGCAAAAGCGTCACCAGGGGTAGGACTGGGTAGGCATAGGCCTATCATTTTTTGTTTTGGCATCTCCAGTCAAATTTTTTTTATATAGTTCATTCACAAAAAATAAAATGATCACCTGTTTATTGGCAGAACAATATTGTCTGAAACTGAAGGATTATGTTTAAGCTTAGGTTGCACCATTAACTAACCGCTATCACAAAACAACCATCAAGGTTTAGGTCAAATAAACAGTGGCTGTGGTTTAGACTGTCACCAGCAGGTGGCGGAAACGGACAGTCAAAAGGGGCACATGCCTTTGTTCCTGTTTGAATGGGGATATGTACTAGTTTACATACATAATTTTTATTATAATTTAAACAATTATTATTGTTGTATGACACAACACAACTACGGGTGAAAAGCAAACCACAAACTACTCCACACATAAAGGGAACAGATTGTAGTAGTATTCTTTTCACCATGAATCATTTGACTATCCTCTCCTCCTCTCGTATTTTATCTGATATCATTAACTTTTGTTTGTTCATTTCTATTCACCCATTGTCTGTTTCATGGCGTTATGATGGGACCCCTGAATCCATGTCTGTACCTGTGGACTGGTTTTCTCCGGCCCGGACTCGTGGGTGCACCCCCCTCTTGTCCTGCACCGCCTCAGTCCTGGATCTACAGCTTGTCCATTCGTGCGAGCAGATCCCTCTTTCAATATGGGCCGTCTCAACGTACTTACTCAATTTAATTACTTGCCCATGCAGGAGGCTCTAAAGACAGTGTTGCTCCAGGACAAGTTATCATTGTCCTGGATCACTGTTGGACCATTTATACTTCCTGGGTTTCTATTGTGAAATACACATCAAAGTTACAAATATAACTGTAGGCAAATATGTAAACAGCCCGTGGTCAGAACCTCAGGTTGAAGCCTGAATGATAAGATGGTATCTCACTTCCATGTAGCTGTTGTTGTAGACAAAAAAAACAGTCCCACTGGTTTGAACATTCTACAGAAAAGAAAAATGTTGGTCTTCGAGCAGACTAAAGCAACACCTGTAGTTTGTGCTGTTGAGGCAGTGACCACGTGTGGATGCGAGAATGGAAGGAAGGAGATAACTGGCCTTGAGGAATTTGTAGCACGCTAAAAATGAGACTTTTAAGCGTGGTTCATGAGTTTCAGAAGCATCATTCCATCTTGATTGGAATGTTTTTGTGATGATGTAATTGATAAAAAAACACTTAAATCCTTCATTGTATTCAACTGCATTTTCCAAACCTAGAGAAAGCCAGAGACAATAGATATTTATGGAACCAGCCGACAAAATGGAGAAGTTGCTGGAGTTTGAACAAATAGTTTCAAAGCTGTCTGCTCAACTTGCCACAGGCCGTGCAGTTATCATGATAAATCAAAGTAGATTAAAAAAGCAGACTATCAGCGCTCGACTCCTCCAGTGATTTCTCAACAAAAGGGAAATGAAGCCGAGGACATGATCTTGAAAACCTTACTTTGTGGCAGATGTCTTGCGCAGACATCTGTCTGTTTTCTTTGAGTGAATGTCTGAAAGATGCACTGTCAGCACCGATGGTAGGTGATAGCACACACATATCAATCTCTGCACATGTCTTGCAGTGTCTCACACAGTTATAGACAAGATCCACCATTATCCGAACAAGGAACTCATCCTCCTATTTTTTTCTGTATAGGACCACTAATAACACTATTTGTTTTTTCCCTATTTTTTTATTTTTGTTTCTTTAAAGAGCGACTAAACACCTGTGACCAGCCTTACTCCGCCCACATGAACATTTGAAAATGTTCTCCTAAAAGGGCGTTGCCTGGAGGCCAAGGGGACAAGAAGGGGGGCATAGAGTTGGGCGTGGTCTGGGCTGTGATTGACAGCTCACTTGTCACACACACACACAAAAAAAGACAGTTGTCATTGCTGCTTAAAGCAATAGTTTACACACCAGAAAGTGTCATTCCACCCTTGTTTACACACTAAAATAATTGTAGAGCTTCAAACCTGAACCTAAGCCATTGATTTGTCTCAGCAGCAGTGGTTGTCAACTCATGTAATTTAATTTTAAACCACTAGATGTCGCGAGAATACTCCGACCTGCAGCTGGGGCATGTGAGAGAGTTGGATGGGGATTATCACTGGCGCAGACAGACGCACGTCACACACACCAACTGACGTCACACACACAACTGACGTCATAGAGAATTACATAGAGAATTATTATTGGAGAGGCCAAATTCAAATGTAGTACCACCAAAAAGGCTTGAGAGGGCGCCACACAGACGTTTTTAGGCTCAAAAGTGATATTTTATCTAATCTGCTCTAAAATATCAAAAAAAAATGTAGAGAGCACTACAATTAACATATTTATGCAGTTTATGAGTTAAAAGTTTATTTGGTGTTTAGTCGCTCTTTAATTATAGGCCTTTATCAAATGGTTGAGAGGAAGTTTGACTGTAAAAGTGCCTCAAACCAAGTGAGATGACCCAAGAAGAATATTTCAGTTCCAAACATGTTTAAAGAAGGTTATCTACCAAAAGGTTGAGGGAACTATTAAAGGGTTAATCTCCTCTGTTTTAGGGTACTGTAGGTGGAGTCCTTCTTAGCTGACATCGTTTGATTCCACCATGCCGTCATGTCAGGAATCACTAATACAGCTTGAATTTCTACACATTTTGTTACAAACATATCATATTATTGAGACTTACTTAAAAAAACAAAATGATGTAACAAATGTATACAGCATGAGTCAAATCCCCAGCTGCAGAGGCTTTTCATCCCATAATCTCCTGTATATTAAACCACCCATCTTCCCACAACTCTGACACTCTCTGCCCCTGCTGAAGAAAAACAGCCCACATGATGATAAGTGGCATTGACTTTCTATTTACCACTTGTCCATAAAAGCCAGATTTGTGTATGACTAATATTTGCCACATGTACAGATTTCCCCAGGTGAGCTGTGAACGTCAGTCTTGAGTCTGCCTCTGTGGTCAGTGTTGTCCTTGTTTGAGCTGTGGGTCTGGGCCGACAGCTGAATCTTGGTAGATTTGCAGTGGTGCCATACTCTTTCCATTCATCACCCTGTTTAGCGACCAATACATTCTACACATATCTCAAAGGCCATCACAAAACGTCTGTAATTATACTGAGAGTAGCTTCAACTCTCTACAGGGCTGTATTTATTTGTTGGGTGTGAACATTCAGCAGTCATTAGGAAACTTTCAAAGGCAATTAAAGGCAGCCAGAAAACATAATGTATTAAAACGCCCCACTTTTATATTCATAAAGTAATAATAACGCAATTATGTAACCTTTTACTTTCACTTTGCATGTTTTTACTAGTTGTTGTATGTGAACTTTCCTAAAAACTTTGTTATTTGTTATAAACATGACAAAATATGCAACGCTGTTTTAGTGCTTTTGCAGTAGAAGGAACTGTTGACAATATTTACAACAAAATAATCCTTGCTTAACTTTAAACTTGTAATGTTTTGAGTTTGTTCTCAAATAAATTACATAATCACTGGCTTTATCCCAGAGGTTTCTTTAGGAAGGATGTATTGACAGAAATTCAGTCTCACCACAGATCTGTCAGATTCACTTACATATGTTTTTTTTCCAGCAAAAGTACCGTTCACAACCAAGAACGGGACCAAGTTAACCCTTCAAAATTCACTCCTTGGAGAAAGCAATCTCATTTTTTCTGTGTAGGAGCACTGATAACACAATTTGTTTTTTCCCTATTTTTCTATTTTTGTTTTTCTTTTGTGAAGCGGCTGGGATGAGAATCAGCACCTCCAAATCCGAGGCCATGGTGCTCGACCGGAAAAAGGTGCCTTGCCCTCTACAGGTGGGTGGAGAGGTCCTTCCTCAAGTGGAGGAGTTCAAGTATCTCGGGGTCTTGTTCACGAGTGAGGGAAGGATGGAGCGTGAGATTGACAGGCGGATCGGTGCAGCGTGCGCAGTGATGCGGTCGCTGTATCGGACCGTTGTGGTGAAGAGGGAGCTGAGCCGAAAGGCAAAGTTTTCGATTTACCGGTCAATCTTCGTTCCCTCCTTCACCTATGGTCATGAGCTTTGGGTAATGACCGAAAGAACGAGATCGCGGATACAAGCGGTCCAAATGAGCTTGCTCCGCAGAGTGGCTGGGTGCTCCCTTAGAGATAGGGTGAGGAGCTCAGTCACACGAGAGGAGCTCGGAGTAGAGCCGCTGCTTCTCCACGTCGAGAGGAACCAGTTGAGTTGGCTCGGGCATCTGTTCCGGATGCCTCCTGGACGCCTCCCAGGGGATGTGTTCCGGGCACGTCCCTCCGGGAGGAGGCCCCGGGGAAGACCTAGGACACGCTGGAGGGACTATGTCTCTCAACTGGCCTGGGAACGCCTTGGGGTTTTCAAACCAAGTGAGATGACCCAAAGAAGAATATTTCAGTTCCAACCATGCTTAAAGACGATCTATTGACTCAAAAGGTTATCTACCAAAAGGTTGAGGAAAGGGTTAATCTCGTTATTTATTCTCAAATTATTACTGGATAATACTTGTAAAATGATTGGAATAAACTTGTTGGAACTCATAGGACTGAGACTTTTTACAACTCTGACTTTACTCTTATAATATTTTGACTTGCACCATGCAGCCTGAATTGCAGAGAACACAGGGATTGGCAGGTTCTCCATTGGCGCTCTCTGCTCTTCACGGATCAAACCACCTGACGACATGTGACAGACGGGACAAAGTCTGGAAACGGCATGGATTATGTCCTGCCAGCTGGAGTTCCCTCGACTGCCATCAGGTACCGAGATGAGATTCCCGAACCAGTGACAGACCATATCCTGGTGCAGTGAGCCCTGGATTCCTTCTGATAATGATAATTCAAGGCCTCATAATTCAGACTGGAATGTGCCAGTCGGCCCTGCGAGATGGAGGCATGATGTGAAGGACCTGAATCCAATTGGGACCTTGTAATCTGGTCCATCCACAGCGTCACGTGGAAGCAGACACCATTTGGGGTCTGGGAGGAGATCAATTACAAGATGTTTATTTCAAAATCTGTATAACACAAATTTACTAAACAAAATCACTCTTTTCACTGTGTTCTGCTGTTTCATCTGTTTTAAATAATTTGGAATATTCAAAAATCACTTAAACCAGACCCAGAAACGATGTTGAAAGCGTTATGTCCCACATTTCTTCAACTGGTCTGATCACGTGTGAGAGTGACATTTCAAAGACTGGTTGTAGTTATTTTTATTGTGTGTGATTATATCTTGTATGTCTTTCTTGTTCTTCCTATTTTCATGCATGCATTTTAGCTTCACCTTTACCTTGTCAATTGTTTCTTCTCTCTTTCACCCACACTTGTTTTAACCAACAAAATGAAGACGTTTGGAGGCGTTTAGACCCCGGCTTTTATAAAACGTACTCTTGAGATAATAAACAACCTGAAGACACTTGCTCCTCCCTCTTGTCTCTTCCTTCCACAATACCACTGGCCCATTCCATTTACATAGTATAAATGAATATAATGTAATGTTTGGGTTTGAATTAATTCACGTTTTTAAGGGATTTTTAACTGTTTTTAGGCATTTCTGTTTAAACCAAGGTCCCCGTTGTTTTCTTTTGGGAACTTGGAAGAACTCCCTCCAATTAAAGGGGAGTGTCCAGCACCCCTGCCTCTAGTTAGGGTTAGGGGAAGTGCTAAGGGCTAGCATTGGGATTCAGCTTTCAAGTTCAGCCTTGTCTCAGCTGGTGAATACACCCAAAGAGACACAGTGAACACAACATCAAGACGTGTGACTCACAATATAATGGAATCTAATTAATCAATGAAATTAAACCTCACCCATTTATCAAAATCGCCAATTATCTTTACATTTTTAAAAAGTGAACTGGTCACTGGACACAAAAAACGCAGGTGGAGGTGTGGTCATAGGTTTGATTTTGGATTAAATGTATCTGAACAAACTCGTTTACGGCACACAGGACTTGGTTCTTTCAGTCAGACAGGTGAGTGTTACATTCACATTTATGATTTAAACTATATCTTCTGACAGTAAATTTGTGGAAGTGTGGTTCATTTCTTCTTTCCACAAATGTCCAATGTGTTCTAGATCAGGGCTGGGGTCCTGAGGTCAGGGCTCCCACACCTGGACATTACTGACAACTTCGGTTAGGTTCAGCCTAGACACAATCCACCTATGTATGTACTGTAGGTGGCTTGTGACTCTCTGTCTGAAGTAATAATAATAATATTGTACAAATCTAAAACAATTTGCTAATGTGTATTTAGACTTCTATACTAAGCTGAAAAACACAACATGTGCTCGTTTGATTATTTCTAAGTAACTGTTGTCAAGGGAATATAACATTCAGTAATTCCTTGTTTGTCCCTTTAGAAAGATGAAGCTTTCTGAAGGAGGCCTCCTCCTGTGTGTCTTGGCCACAGTCCTCCTGACCGGAGAGTCAGCTCCTCGGATGCTGAATTCTATCAAAGATCTGAAGGAAGTGGATTTTGGACGCTCGGTGCCCAAACACAGCCTCCTGCTGCTGTACTGGTTTGCAAGCAATATCAACATTAATGACAACAACATTAGATTAACATTTGATCCAACCACAGACTTTGGTTCACATCGCTACTACAACATTGAAGGCTTGTTGGATCAGTTAGAGGAAGGGTTCCATTACTACACCATCGGCAATCTTAATCTTAATGAGGACTTTCCTGGATATGTCCGTAACCCCCCAGACAGACAGTATGAAGGAGGGAACCTGGACAGGATTGTAGTCCGGCAAGATTCACATGACGACAGTATAGATGGAGTGTACCTCACACAGCACACACCAGGAAGTGCAGAATATGACCCAGACCACACCTACCAGATATCCCCCACCCTTCTGCGTCAAATCAGACAGTTTTCAACACAAACCATCACTTCACTCCGGCAGCGGTTTCGCAGTAACATCAACGACCAGCAGTTAAACACTTTCAGAAGCACATAGGGGCCCGAGCTGGTTTGTCTTGGACTTTTTCTGTTCATTTTACTAGACAAAAGAACCTCCAGGGTAGAAATCACTGATAAGCGCGGCACTGATGAGCCCGTCCGTCTTGAAATCCTCCTGGATGATCACAGCTCTCAACATAGAGCAAGAAACCCAGAACGAAATAATCATAATTTTTCTCATAACAGAGGCAACAATGACAACTGTTCTTGTGGACAGACATGCTGTATAGCAATTGTATGTATTGTTGCTGTTTTTGTTATCATTGGTATCATTGTTTGGGCTGTTGGAGCTAAACCTTAAAGGTATATACTGAAGGAGGATTTTACCAAATTTGAGGAATGAGCCGCCCTCTTCACTTTTCGAACAAAACGCTCTGGTCAATTATCACCAGAATGATTGACAATTGGGAGGACCAATAGTCTTGATGATCCACCCAGAAGTAGAAAATCCTCCCATATACCTTTAAGTTCAGTACTTGCTGGACTATTAAGCGCACCTGTATATAAACCATATCATTTACATTTGAATAGAAAGTGAAAGTTGACCACATCCAGGGTTCACTTGAATACAAGCCACAAGTTTCATGTAAACTCAACAGCTGATGGAGGAAAACAAAGCTGGAACTAACAACATGATTTAAAGACCAGGTGTTTAAACACACTTGTAATGGAATCTGTTTATTTTTTTAAGAGCTTCCTGTCCGACCAGTCTGAACTTCATGATGTCAACAACCCTCCTAAGAATTGGTCTTATAACCTTCATAGTGTTTAGAAACCTGCTTTTATAAAATATTAGATTCATTCAGTGGTTCTGTTCTGTACTCTTGGGATAATAAACAACCTGAAGACACTTGCTTCTCCCTTTTCCTTCCAAACTACCATAAATAAATGTAATATAATATTTGAGTTTGAATTATTACACGTTTTCCAGGGGTCAAACTTGTTCTGGTTTTCAGGATTTTCTGTTACACCAAGGTCCCCATTGTTTTCTTTAGGGAAAGTTTTGCTTATTAATTAATGCAGGTATTTTTAATCAATTAAATGAGTTGATGCTTGGACTTGAACCAAAACTGGACCAAACGTTAGACAGGCTTATTGCACACTGATAGATCAAGTATTATGATGGTGAATTATGGTGAAGCAGGAGCAGTCGTGTGCTAAGGCAAGCTGGAGTTTCGCTGCGAATGAAGGCATCTCAATCCCGACACAGCTCATATCCGGATTTACAAGACGATATCAAATACACACAAAGATCATAGAGAGCACAAAATTAACAGATTATTCAAAAATAAAATGGTTATTGAGTCTATTGTTGTAACGTGGTTGAAATAGAGAAAATGCTTATTATCCATAATATGTCTGATTTATGTTATTCCACTTTGTTTTCAATTGTTTAGGATGTCTAATCGCCTCTTCCGTCAACTTTTATTTTTCGATTTTGGAAAGACATGACAGACTACTTCACGTCTTTCCACCTTCGTAATATTGTCTATTTCCAGGTCTAAAAGAGCTTTACACACCACACAGTTTACTTAAATAACAAGTGTCTCCAGCGTCATTTATTTTCACATTTTATTCTTCAAAGTGCGTTGGAATATACTGTAGATCCGGGACAACACAAGCGTAACACAAAACAAGCCGAGGAAACAGTTCAACGGTGCAGTCCTCTCTGCGGGAAAAAAGTCCAGAGTTTGTCCATGGTGTGGTGATAGTGCACGTTCCCAGGGCTGGACCGTCTGTGGTCCAGGAGGGGAAGGAGAGGAGTCACCCATGGATCTACAACAGACACAAACAGGACAACGAGAATGTTTGGGGACTTGTATCTTATGTCCTGTCCGTCACACTACATTTTCAACGCAACATTTCCGCATTAAATTATTATCTAATCAACCAGGAAGTGGAGTTGAAAATTAGCAATAGCTATAAAATTGTTTTGCGTTGCATCAGTTACAAGCTTGTTTTGTTCTATGCTGACTTGTAATGTCCCTGTCAAATAAATGAATAAATAACTAATGCAGAATAACTTTAAAAAGGTGAAAGGCAAGTGTGTTTGTATAGCACAGTTCATATACAAGGCAAATCAATGTTTTTTAGTATAGTGAACTTGTAAGGAGGTGGCAGAGCAGTGGTTTGGTGTTCCACTCACAAAGAAAAATATTTTGTTCAAATGTTGATTATTAATATTGCTATATTTTTGGCCAAAACATTACAATGCCATGTTGGTCTACTTCTTTAAAGATGCCAAAATCAAAATCTGTTCTTGTGAATTCAGTATAATTTTTTATCTTTTTACGCTTTAGCTTATTTCATACATTTTAGAAAGGTACCAGTCACAGAGATCAGTAAGGAGACAAATTTCATTCAATTTAAGAAGAGAATCAATCCTTGTCATTCTCTTTCAATTTTAATTTCTTAAATTCACATAAAAGAGGCTTTTGTGTGAATTGGATGCAGCCTACGATCTAAATCCATTCATATAAAAGAACTAACTTTGAACAAATGTGAGTTTCCGGTAGCCTGGTCGTACCACACCATAGTACAAATTACATTACGTACTAAGGTCTGGAGGTGCTCCATTGAGCTCCGTTTACAGGTGGGAGGGGTTAACTCCTTTTACAGATTGAAACGATTGGATCTGAGTTCACCGTCACGTATGTAATGCGCCCGAGTGAGTCATTTAGCATTTAGCCTAGCCGTCTCCTTTGTCGCTAACGGAGCCTGTGGGGAGTAGCGCCATATTCTTTGCCAGCAATTACATTTGCAAAACATTCCTCTAGCTCCTGCTTCCATTTCTTGATAGAACCAGAGCGAAATACAGTACTGTCGCAGTCTTCGCCATTGCTAAACTACGACCTTCCCTTTCGGCGCAAACTCTTGACGTCACCCACATCTAACTACAACACCCGCCTCCCACGCTCGTTGGTTGGTCAGATGGAATTCAACCGATTGTAATCGCAAACACGGGGACCAGTGAAATGATAATTGCGCAGAGTGTACGGATGGCTAAGGCCAGGCTAAGTTACCGGTAGTTAGTAATTTGACTTGATCTACAGCACACCGCCCAGACCAGAGGGAATGCCCAGCAACCACATGGTCCGCCATTCTCGTTTAACTTATTATACTACTTTATTATAGTTGTTGCGTTTTAACAGTGGTCTCATTATACATCTCACATGATATGGTGTGATTTTCCCATTTGTTGGGGTAGGAGGCGTGTCGAGCGCCAGAATGTGACCCTGAGGATATACTTGGATGAACTCCCTCTGACCACTTCACCAGAAATGGGATTCAGCCTTTAAGTATCAGCTGGTGAATACACTCAAAGGGACACAGTGCACACAACATCAAATCGTGTGACTCACAATACAATACAATGGAAACAAATTAATCAATTAAACCTGACCCATTTATCAAAACCACCAATTATATTTAATTTTTTAAAAAGAGAACCCGTCACTTAGCACAATACATGTAAAAGCAGGTGGAGGCGTGGTATAAGTTTCATGTCAGATTGAATGCATCTGAACAAACTGGTTTAAGACTCACTGGACGTGCTGCTCTCAGTCAGACAGGTGAGTATTATATTCACATTTATGGTTTTATTTCTCCTTTTATTCCGCAGTAATGTCCGCAACTATTTTATTTAAATTTCCTCACTGAGGGACGATTAAAGGTTTATCTTACCTTATCTTAACTTACCTTTCTATTCCATTTGTATAAGAACATTGACAAGTATAACTGTTCTTGTTGAAGTAAACGTAGATTTCCTGATATTTAATCCAAGTAAAACTTTCTGTTCACTGCAATATTTTAATCATGTGAAATGTCAAAATATTAAGAGGAAATGATTTAAAAATTTTGACGAATATTATGTTAGCTATAATTTGGTTTTTACTAAAAAGAGCAAAGAAATTCTTGAATCTTGAATTAAACATGACAAAAATAATGTATTGCTCTAACTCCTTTTACTTGGATGAAATATCAGGAACTGATGACTGATGGGAACTTATGACTTCATAAGAAATAATCAGACATCAGTATGTCATGTTTTCTAGCTAAGTAAATTTAGTAATTCCTTGTTTGTCCCTTTAGAGATGAAGCCACCTAAAGGATATATCACAATTCCAATGTTAGATCTTCCGCTGCTCACTTCTATCAATGATCTGAAGGAAGTGGATTTTGGACGCTCGGTGCCCAAACACAGCCTCCTGCTGCTGTACTGGTTTGCAAACAAAACCAAAATCATTAATGACAACAACATTAGATTAACATTTGATCCAACCACAGACTTTGGTTCACATCGCTACTACAACATTGAAGGCTTGTTGGATCAGTTAGAGAGAGGGTTCCATTACTACACCATCGGCAATCTTAAGGACTTTCCTGGATATGTCCGTAACCCCCCAGACAGACAGTATGAAGGAAGGAACCGGGACAGGATTGTAGTCCGGCATGATTCACATGACGACAGTATAGATGGAGTGTACCTCACACAGCACACACCAGGAAGTGCAAAATATGACCCAGACCACACCTACCAGATATCCCCCACCCTTCTGCGTGAAATCAGACAGTTTTCAACACAAACCATCACTTCACTCCGGCAGCGGTTTCGCAGTAACATCAACGACCAGCAGTTAAACACTTTCAGAAGCACATGGGGGCCCGAGCTGGTTTGTCTTGGACTTTTTCTGTTCATTTTACTAGACAAAAGAACCTCCAGGGTAGAAATCACTGATAAGCGCGGCACTGATGAGCCCGTCCGTCTTGAAATCCTCCCGGATGATCACAGCTCTCAACATAGAGCAAGAAACCCAGAACGAAATAATCATAATTTTTCTCATAACAGAGGCAACAATGACAACTGTTCTTGTGGACAGATATGCTGTATAGCAATTGTATGTACTGTATTGTTGCTGTTTTTGTTATCATTGGTATCATTGTTTGGAGCTAAACCTTAAAGGTATATACTGTAGGAGGATTTTACCAAATTTTAGGAATGAGCCGCCCTCTTCACTTTTCAAACAAAACGCTCTGGTCAATTATCACCAGAATGATTGACAATTGGGAGGAGCAATAGTCTTGATGATCCACCCAGAAGTAGAAAATCCTCCCATATACCTAGTTCAGTACTTGCTGGACTATTAAGCGCACCTGTATATAAACCATACCATTTACATTTGAATAGAAAGTGAAAGTTGACCACATCCAGGGTTCACTTGAATACAAGCCACAAGTTTCATGTAAACTCAACAGCTGATGGAGGAAAACAAAGCTGGAACTAACAACATGATTTAAAGACCAGGGGCCGTATTCCTAAAGATTCTAAGAGTCCTCTCAGAGAGCTCCTATCTTAACCTAAAAACTCCTAGCTAGGAGTCTTAGCTTAAAAGTTATTCCAGAACACTCTTAGAGAACTCTGAGCAAGGAATGGACTACAACTTTTATCTTAGTGAGGAGGCGTGGCCGACCCCGTTGCTAGGTATGAGTCATCATTTCAGACGCTGTGATTGGTTGATCCTAAAAGTTAGAGAAACCATATGGGCAAAATAAGGATCCTCTAATGGACAAACTCAATCATAGAATCTAATCTTAGGAATACTGTGTCATTGTAAATAATCAGAAAAGGTAGAAAGTCAGATATATCAATGTATTTACTAATATTGTCAAACTTACTGTTGTAAGTTTGACTTTTACACCACATCATTAGAGCTTGCTCAGCACCAATTTATCACACATATTTAACAAACGTATATAACATGAGCACTTATATATGTATATATATATATATATATATATATATATATATATATATATATATATATATATATATATATATATATATATATAGATGATTATGTTATATACGTTATTATTAGTAAAGGCTGTGATACTGAAAGACGTAAAAGGAATTAAGGAAAAAATATTAATATAAGCATTTTATACATACACAAATCAAGTGCATGTTATTGTGAATGTCACTGTTGCATAACTGTAAATACACCATGGAATAAACTAAGCTGTAGCAACCACATAATTTAAGTTAATTTAGAATGATAAATAGAGGGTGGGAGTTTAAAAGTATTAACTTCTTCACACTCCTTTTTGAACTGGATTGCTGTTAATAAAACAAAACTGTATATTTGTACATGATGACTTTTACATGATTGACTTTTAAACATGATTCCTGCAGGATCAAATCTGCAGCGTTTTACTGATTCACTGTGATCCAGTGTATAGAATATTTCTCCTGCCTCTACCGTCCACCATTTTGTCCTCTTAGGGAACTTTTAAGTTGCTAAAAGTCCACCTCTCAACTCTTAAGGGATCTCCCCTTAAGAGCACTCTTAAGAGCTAGGATTCTTTAGGAATAGCTTTTTTCTTAACTAGAAGCTACTCCTCACTTTTAGGGGAAATTCTAAGAGTTGGTCAAGATTCTAAGAAAATTCTTAGAATTTGGCCACTAGGAGCAACTTTTAGCAGTAAGAATCTTTAGGAATACGGCCCCAGGTGTTTAAGCACACTTGTAAAGGAATTTGTTTATTTTTTTAGAGCTTCCCGTCTGACCAGTCTGAACTTCATGATGTCAACCACCCTCCTAAGAATTGGTTTAACAACCTTTAAAGCGTTTAGAAACCTGCTTTTATAAAATATTAGATTCATTCAGTGGTTCTGTTCTGTACTCTTTGGATAATAAACAACCTGAAGACGCTTGCTTCTCCCTTTTCCTTCCAAACTACCATAAATAAATGTAATATAATATTTGAGTTTGAATAATTACACGTTTTCCAGGGGTCAAACTTGTTCTGGTTTTCAGGATTTTCTGTTACACCAAGGTCCCCATTGTTTTGTTTAGGGAAAGTTTGCTTATTATTAATCCTCTTTTTGAATCTTTTGATCATTTTATAACACATTGCATTTGTTTGTATTATGCAGGTATTTTTAATCAATAAAATGAGTTGATGCTTGGACTTGAAGCTTTTATTTTTTGATTTTGGAAAGACATGACAGACTACTTCACGTCTTTCCACCTTCGTAATATTGTCTATTTCCAGGTCTAAAAGAGCTTTACACACCACACAGTTTACTTAAATAACAAGTGTCTCCAGCGTCATTTATTTTCACATTTTATTCTTCAAAGTGCGTTGGAATATACTGTAGATCCGGGACAACACAAGCGTAACACAAAACAAGCCGAGGAAACAGTTCAACGGTGCAGTCCTCTCTGCGGGAAAAAAGTCCAGAGTTTGTCCATGGTGTGGTGATAGTGCACGTTCCCAGGGCTGGACCGTCTGTGGTCCAGGAGGGGAAGGAGAGGAGTCACCCATGGATCTACAACAGACACAAAAAGGACAACGAGAATGTTTGGGGACTTGTATCTTATGTCCTGTCCGTCACACTACATTTTCAACGCAACATTTCCGCATTAAATTATTATCTAATCAACCAGGAAGTGGAGTTGAAAATTAGCAATAGCTATAAACTTGTTTTGCATTGCATCAGTTACAAGCTTGTTTTGTTCTATGCTGACTTGTAATGTCCCTGTCAAATAAATGAATAAATAAATAATGCAGAATTATAACTTTAAAAAGGTGAAAGGCAAGTGTGTTTGTATAGCACAGTTCATATTCAAGGCAAATCAATGTTTTTTAGTATAGTGAACTTGTAAGGAGGTGGCAGAGCAGTGGTTTGGTGTTCCATTCACAAAGAAAAATATTTTGTTCAAATATTGACAAGTATTTTTTTTGTCAATACATTACAATGCCATGTTGGTTTGCTTCCTTAAAGATGTCAATATCAAGATTTTTTTTTTTTACATTTTTGCCAATTTCATACATTTTAGATGAGGTACCAGTCACAAGAGATCAGTAAGGAGACACGGTGCCTTTAATTGTCCTTTAATTGCTTTAATTTACATTAACAGGGTCATTGTGTGAATCGGATGCGGCCCACGTTCTGAATCTATTCATATAAAAGAACCAAAAGAACTAACTTCTAACAAGTGTGAGTTAAGTTACCCCACAACACACCGCCCAGACCAGAAGGAATGCCTAGCAACCGTATGGTCCGCCATTCTTCTTTTACGTAACTTTAATATAGTTGTTGCGTTTTGACAGTGGGTCACATTATACACCTTACGTGATTTTCTCGTGTGTTGGGGTAGGGGGCGTATCGAGCGCCTCCCTCTGACAGATATACTTGGATGAACTCCCTCTGGCCACTTCACCAGAAATGGGATTCAGCCTTTAAGTATCAGCTGGTGAAAACACTCAAAGGTGTCACGGTGTGGATTTTGTGATTTTGTATTTTGGTTTTCTTTTTGACATTGTTCTCTGTAGTTTAGTTTGACTTCACCTGTGTCTCTCTGTGTCTATATGTAACCCTGTGCTTTCCGTTCTGTTTCGTTCCGTTCCGTTCCTGGTTCCCTGTGGTTTTGGATTTTTGAGTTTGTTTTCATCTACCCTTTTGTTTTTTCATCATTAAATTATTTTTATTTTGGCATTTCCTGCATTTTGAGTCCTTCATTCACCTCCCTCCATGACAAAAGGGACACAGTGCACACAACATCAAATCGTGTGACTCACAATACAATACAATGGAAACACGAGAATCAATTATTCCTAACCCATTTATCAAAACCACCTATCAAAAACACGTCACTTGACACAAAAGCAGGTGGAGGCGTGACGTCAGATTAAATGCATCTGAACAAACTGGATTACGACTCTCTGGACTTGCTGCTCTCGGTCAGACAGGTGAGTATTATATTCATTACACATTTATAATATTATTTGTGCGCAATTTTAATGTTTTAATTTCCTCACTGAGGGGCGAATAAATGTTTATCTTACCTTATCCTAACTTACAACCTTTCTATTCCATTTGTATAAGAAGATTGACAAGTATGACTGTTCTTGTTGAAGTGTATGTAATTTTGCACATTTCCTGACATTTAATCCAAGTAAAATGTTCCATGTCAGGCGGAACACTGCATTATTGAAAAAAATGTGAAATGTCGAAATATTAAGAGGAATTATTTTAAAATGTTGACAAATATCATGTGAGCTATAAGTCATTTATTTTAAGCAGTTTAAGACACAATCCACCAAAAGTGTCATGTAAATGTCCTCCATGTTGTGATGAAGTAATAATAATAATTTTGGCAAGAGCTCTGGCGTGTACTATCTGCTCTGATGCACACTGGGAGAGTCTTGCAGTTTTTCCAAAGTGGTTTTTACTAGAAATAGCAAACACATTTTTGAATACTGAATTTAACATGATTAAAGTAAAGCTTTTCTTTGGATTAAATATCAGAAAATGTGGGAAAATGTGGCTGAAATAAAAAGTTCTCTATGGGGACCTAAGACTTCTATAGGAAATAATCAGACAGCAGAATGTCATGTTTTCTAGCTAAGTAAATTTAGTAATTCCTTGTTCGTCCCTTTAGAGATGAAGCCACCTAAAGGCTATCTCCCACTCCTAATGCTCCGGAGCAGAGAGTCAGCTCCTCGGATGATGAATTCTATCAATGATCTGAAGGAAGTGGATTTGGGACGCTCGGTGCCCAAACACAGCCTCCTGCTGCTGTACTGGTTTGCAAGCAATATCAACATTAATGACAACAACATTAGATTAACATTTGATCCAACCACAGACTTTGGTTCACATCGCTACAAGAACATTGAAGGCTTGTTGGATCAGTTAGAGGAAGGGTTCCATTACTACACCATCGGCAATCTTAATGAGGACTTTCCTGAATACATCCGTAACCCCCCAGACAGACAGTATGAAGGAGGGAACCTGGACAGGATTGTAGTCCGGCAAGATTCACATGACAACAGTATAGATGGAGTGTACCTCACACAGCACACACCAGGAAGTAAAGAATATGACCCAGACCACACCTACCAGATATCCCCCACCCTTCTGCGTCAAATCAGACAGTTTTCAACACAAAACTTAGCGTCAATCCGGCGGGAGTTTCACAGTAACATCAACAACCTCCAGTTGAAGACTTTTAAAAAACAATGGGGACATGGACTTGGACTTTTTCTTTTCATTGTAACAGAAGAAAGAACCTCCAGGCTAGAAACCACTGAGGTTCGCATCATTGATGAAAACAGTACTGATAATCACAGTACTGATGATCACAGTACTGATGATCACAGTACTGATGATCACAGTACTGATGATCACAGTACTGATGGGAGCACTGATAATCACAATAATAATCACAAGTCTCAATATAGTCTCAATAGAAGAGACAATGACTGTGATATTGAAATTATTGTGCGCTGTATAGTAGCCGCATTTATTCTTTTTCTGATTTTTCTGATTCTTTGAATACAAGCCACAGTTTTTTATGTAAAGCCGACAGATGATGGCGGAAAACAAAGCTGTTGGACGACTCTTGTAACTAACAACATGATTTAGCACTTGTGAAGGATTTCTTGAAGTGCTTCCAGTCTGACCAGTCCGAACTGATTCTTGTAGTCAACCACCCTGCCAGGAGGAAATGGTTTATTTTAAAAACTAAGTCCATTAAGTCTGTTCTGACAATAGCCGTACTCGATTATAGACAAGTTCTGTGTATTGCTTGCACCTCCTCATCTTTCTCTGCAGTTCACATAAACACACCAGGAATGTGTGCTACGGCATCATCTCTGGAGATTGACAGGGACTGGACTCCTGCTGATGCCAGAGTCAGAACTAAACGTGGGGAGGCTGCATTTCAGATTCATGCAGCAAAAATCTGCAATAATCTTCCTGAAGATGTGAGACAGGCCTCTTCTCTGACAATGTTTAAATCCAGGTTAAAAAATAATTCTGTTTAGCTGTATCCTATCTTCTGTATCTTAACCTTTTTTTAATGTACTGTGATTCTTTATCATTGTTATGCCTTGTATGATTGTTTCTATCTAAGCATTTAGAATAGGCAAAGAAAGCATAAACTTTCTTTTATGAGAGTGTGCGTCGAAGGCTGAGGAGGAGGCGGGAAGTGGCGGCTTGCGAGGCTTGAAAAAACATTGGTTGTTGGGAAGTTTCTGCTTTTAAACTTGATTGTCGTAGGTTGGCAGGGAAGTTGGCAGCACTGTGAGTGAAAGGGTACGGCTTGGCTCGGATGGTTGCAGCAGGTATAGTCTACCAGACTGAATCTGCACAGGCGGCATTTGTGGCGATTTTGTGCTATCAGCTGTTGGCTAAGTCTTATATTACAAAAAAATATAAAACATATAATCTAATTTATCTAACCAGGAAAGTCCCAATGAGAATTCAGAAACTATTTTTCAAATTCTGGCCCCAGAGAGAGTGGGGACAAGAAGGTGTTATAGGGGACTGTATTACATGTTCACCCTCCGTGGTTATCTTTCTCTCAGCTCGGTTCACTACCAGAGGAAGCCTGCATCAGAACACCCGACCAAAGAAACCCGAACACAAATGTGTGAAATTATTATGATTTTTTAATTATTTATGAAGGGGTATCACGCAACTTTTTTCATTTTCGACTTTGTACTGACTCATTGGCTGTAAGAGCTGTTACCGTGAAGCTTTTGATCAGGGTTGTGTCTACAGAGCTCCACGATGAATTGTTTTGTAGGTTTGCTTGTGCCGGCGTCCCACAGCAGAGAAAACCTTCCAGACAATTGCGCATTCAAGAGACCAATGTACAGCCACTGGGTCACTACAAAGCCAACTATGCAAAAATATCAACTTTTTCACTCTTTAATTTTTCTCATCGCAAGAAAGAATCCACTGCTTCGTAGAATCATGGTAAAATCTTTCTTCTTGAATGTGTACGAGGCAAATAACTTATAAGATAACCACAATCATAACTCTTAAGAAGTCCTTGCTGCTGTAAACGTCACGTAGAACAAAGATAATCTCGTAAGTGTCCCTGGACGTGTTTATGGCGCCGCTAGCTCTTATGCTAATTGTGACGCATCAGGAAAATGAGCTGTGGGTTCGCGTCGACACCACACAGATGACGGAGGGTGGGTTTGGTGGCTGTAGACGGTCACCTTGCTGCAAAGATAAAGACGGCTCCAGGTTTGCGCCGAGGACCAGGAAGGGGCTCGCACGGTGCATTAGCGCCTGAGCTATCAATCTCCCCGACTTTATCTGGGATTATATCGAGTGCATTACATCGGAGAAGGGCTGCTGCGCGGAGCACCTCTTGCGCTAGATCCCAGTTTGCACTCTTGATTGATTTTTTTTTTTTTTTTGTGGTAAACTAAACGTGGCGCTATGCTAGCTCATCCCGGAGTTGTTGTTTTCATCTGTTCGACCTTGAGAAAGGAGAGAGCAGCTACGTCCAAACTACGGCTCAGTCATTTTACTTTTGTTTTTTCTTTAAATTACTTTTTATTTTGTAAAAAAATAAATATCAATTAACTGCACAATGTAATATGTAGCTTTATCAAAAAAAATACCACCTAAAATATTTATATAATTAATGATTTAAAAAAAATATTTAGAGTCCCTCAATTTCCGGTTTGAAAATGTTTGCTTTGGTGTTTGTTGTCTCAGAATGTGGAATCAGTCTCAAGGCTGATCATCTCCAAACTGATGTAAGAAATGATTAGAGGGCAAAACATGTGGTAAAAGTAGGAAATTAGATCGAAATCTAACATAACATGGTGTTCAAGAGCCTTCAGGTGTAAAAAACAATAAAACAACAAATGCTTGAATTAAATAGTTTTAGTATCTCGATTTTCATAAATTATCTTTCAACTATCATAAAAAAAAGATTTGCTCGATGGAACAAGCCAAACAAAAGTAAAAGTGTGTGTGTGTGTGTGTCACCATCAGGCTGGATCAGGACCTCCTTCTGACACATGTCCTGGACGTTGACCGTGCAGTTGACGATGAAGTCTGGTGTGGTGCAGTTGTTGGTGCTCATCTCCTCACACTGGTAACACTGGATCTGCAGAGCGGCCCCTGGACACACAACAAACAGACACACAACCAGGCAAGCTTAAATGTATAGCACACTTGATACACAAGGTAACTCAAACTGCTTGTCAAAATAAGACAAGAAACATTCAAATCACACAAGTACCTCATTAAAGAAAAACATTTAAAACCATTTTTGGGAACACAAGTAATATTTTTTGTTCAAACATGATGTTTAGTAATTATAGGTCTCTACAAAATAGTTGAGATGCAGCTTGATGGTAAAAGTGCCAGGGGAAGACCCAGGACACCCTGGACACTTAGGTACTTAGATAGTAAATAGAAAGGAGTAAATATTTGGCTTTTGATCTGGTTCTATTTCATTATTAAAACTCTTTAGGTCTGACTGGCCCCAATATAATTCTCATCACCAATCCATTAGTATGATCCATGGACAGTAAATTATTGGACTGCCGAGTGTGACATCACCTTAGTGTTTGAAGAAAGGGGAAGAAGAAAAATTGAGCATTAGCCAGATGTAACGTATTTCCCTATAAGAGCATTTGTTCTGACAGTGTAATCTTAGGAACCATGACAAGGATGGCTGCAAAGGCAAGTTGGAGTTTCCAAAGACAATATAAGAATTTATAACAAAACACTCCAGAATCACAAAGCTTTACAGCGTGAGATTTTTTATCTCAAAATTTGTGAGTGTGAAATCTGGGAATAAATAACTGTAAAACAAGTTACAGCCTGTTCTGTCCAAAGCTCCTGTTCAGAGTCTGTGTCTTTGATATCAGTAACGTTTGGAGTGAGGCTCCTGTTTTGTGACAGTTTTTGGACCCAGATATGAGAAGGACCCCTCATGGATTGCCATGTATGATATAATCTGGATTAGGTTGTGCTTAAGCCAGTCTTCAGCATGGCGATGGACACCACACTACTACAGCCTTGGCCGCCAATGGAGTTTTGTTCGTATCGTCCTCACTCCTCAGCTGACTGGGAACCTACAGATTGTAAAAAGGAGGATTTACTGGGAATTTTAGCATTCATTCCTTTTGTCCATCGTGAACGTTTTACAATTTATAATCCATTAGTTTTGGATAAATCCACACTTTTGTGCAACTAACTCGGCTCAATCTCATCCTGCTCTGATCAACGTTCTGTGTTCCAGCATGAGAGTGACATCTGCTGGTGCTACGCTGGTCCTGTAGAAGTAGAACACTGGGTGAGGGTTAGACCAGGAGGCCGAGAGACTAATGGCTGATTGTTGGGGATATAATTAAAGATGATAGATTACAATTATAGATTATGCATCATGCCCAAAACATTTTTTTAATAACTGCAGACAAACTAAACGTTTTGGACGTAACACTTCGCGTCCACTTGTTTTTACGTCCAAAACGTCTAGAGCCAAGCCCGGATTAACCATACGGGCAACTGGGCAATTGCCCAGGGGCCCTCCGTGGGCGGCCCATCTAAAGGGCCTTGCTGTCTGGGCCCAGGGCCCACGGAGGGCCGTCATGGGCGGCCCATCTAAAGGGCCCAGACAGCAAGGGCACGAGCAAAATACTGTTACGGGGAATTTACACAGTAGGCGTAAACAGCACGTACGCGTTTACTGCGCGCTCTCTGCGCGTAACATTTTTTTGGAGTATCTACACTGACCGTGCGCGCAGGTCCGCGTCTTCTGATGCTCTCCCTGTGTAGTCTATGGAGCAGTGTAGAGGACAGTACGGGCCAGAGGACTGATGTAGAGCAACACAAATCACATGCATGTGTTTGTCTTCATGGTCTCTGTGCTGGTTTGGCCAGACGCGAGACTTTATAAAAGAAAAAAAAAACGATGTCCAGAATCACTGTAAAACCTGCTGCTCCTCCTGCTGATGTTTAGACACAAGTCCTGTGTGTGTGCAGATGTGATCTAAAGCCAAGGGCCGCTAGAAAAATCATGTTTTACATGAGATTTTAATGGGAGACGCGTTGGTGCGCGCACAAAATTAGAAATCCATCCTAAATTAGAGCGCAGCAGATTTCTAATTTTGTTAGGGCACCAACGCGTCTCCCATTAAAATCTCATGTAAAACATGATTTTTCTAGCGGCCCTTGGCTTTAGATCACATCTGCACACACACAGGACTTGTGTCTAAACATCAGCAGGAGGAGCAGCAGGTTTTACAGTGATTCTGGACATCGTTTTTTTTTTCTTTCACATGTGTGTGACCTCTTTGTGGTTTTGTTTGAGAGGGACTGTGACGATTGTGATGTGCGTGTAAGAGATGCTAAACTGAGCTCCACTTATCCAACAGATCTGGATAGTTCCTTGTCAGATGAACTTATTCAGTTCAAGCACTTTTTGCAGTATGAAACTTCACCTGTACAGCAGCTGCAAGCTCTTGACAGACATGGACTTAAGACAACATTTCCGAATGTTTATGTTGCACTAAGACTGTTTTTAACCTTACCTGTATCTAACTGTGAGGGTGAGAGGTCATTTTCTGTTTTGAAACGAGTTAAAAATGAGCTGAGGACCACAATGTCTCAGACACGGCTCTCTGCACTTTCTCTCTTAGCCATTGAACATGAACTTGTTAGTGGCCTTGATTTCGAAGAGATCATACATCAGTTTGCACAGTCAAAGTCCAGAAAAAAAGCCAGTATAAGATGCCAAATGAAAGCAAACATGCACTTCCTCATTATTTAGGATTAAAATTTTGTGTTTTGCCAGATTATATACCATTTATTTTATCTCGTCTTCTTCAGAGAAATTGTATTGTGTAGTGTATTTATGTAGCACTAAAATGTTTGACTGGTTAATTGTGCTATAGCATGTTGTTATATTTTAAAACAAGTTCAATGAGCAGAGGACCAAAATGTTGCTTGATCTGTTGTCTGTGGTCTTCTGTGATAGCTCTATCTATTCCATACATTTCTATTGGGAATAAGTGTTGTTAAATAAACAATGGTTTAAAAGTGGTTGCTTATCTATTCATTTTTTGTGAAAATGGAGGATACTTCCTTCCCTCTCAATGTAGTGGGTCAATGTTACCAGATTATACAGATGCTGATGTGTTTTGTTTTCATAGCATCATATGTGAGTGAATGTCTTTGATAGGGGACATAGTAGTGCATTCGTAGTTCTATGAGCTTTAAATATTTGTAAATGAAAATACACCTAATGACAGTTAGGATTTGAAGTATTGAGTATTTTTACTGTATATTACAGTAATATATCCTATATATGACCATATTATGGTGATCCTGGGGTCGTGATGATGGGGCCCTTGAATATTGTTGCCCAGGGTACAACAAAGTGTTAATCTGGCCCTGTCTAGAGCGATATTAATAGTTGAGTTGGTGGAGTTGGTGCTGTGAACATTCGGCAGTAACGGCTGCTTTTAATGTCAGTTTATTATAATATCAGTGGTAATAAACTACTATTGTAGCCACAGCTGCCCTGGGGCACACTGACAGAAGCGAGAAAACCAGTATGTGACCACCACCAATGTGGGTGAAACCTGTCTCCACATTCACATGGGTGAATGGGCTGTCAAAAAGACAGATAAACAAGTCTGCACATAAATAATAGCCAAAGATGATCGCAGTAATAAAACATACAATCCAAATCAAGGGAAAGTGGAGATTGTTGGTGTCTCAAAGTAAACTAGAGATGATTTTCAACCCTTATCGAAGACTTTTTTTCTCATTTAAGATGGCAGATAACGTCCAAGCACAGTGGGAGGTGACAAATACTTTCCCTTTTTAGTGAATAAGGCGATAAGCGAGCAGAGTGCTGAAGGCGAGCACCTTATGGCCTCCCAGCGGAAGACGCAGATCTGCAGACGTGACTACAGTGCCCGGAAAAGCGTTTGGATAGTGCCTCAAATATCATTCTCCAGTTCATATCAAGACTGGAACATTCTCAAAAGATGTGGGACAGTGTGTAGATCTACAGTTGAGCTTAAAGACCTGTGTCCTCCAGAGCAGAGATCCCCATGAGCTTCCACAGGTGGGGCCCAGGGCTAGTCTTCTTAGTGTCCACTCAACACTGGATAAAGTATACTTGCACTAGAAAACACAGCACTTTATACTTGCTGATTATTATTCCAAATGTAGAGATTTTATACTTTTTCTTCTTCATCCTAGAGTTAGAGCTTTATTTAGTATAGACTTTTTGTTCATGTATCTCCTCATTACTGCAGTTCTGTAACTAGTTATGCAACACTGAAATTTCCCCACTAATCTTAATTAAAAAGGTGTTTGCAATACATTGATAACACAAAATGGAACAGAGATATTCCATCAGTAATTCTTTTTTTTTTTTTTTGAAATATATTCATTTATTCTTTTAGCTAAAAATAGTAACTTCATTTAATTATACAAGTATTGAGTTGTGCTATAAAGGTATATAGCAGGAGTTTCTTCTTCCGGGTGGATCTAGAGCAGTTATTCATTTATTTATTTATTTGAGAAAGGAGGAGCAATACACATTAACGAACATTTTCACAAATGTAAATATATCACATTATTGCTTTAGGCTAATTTCCATCTGCAGACCCCCAGCAGGTTGGTGTTAAAACCAGTGGGGGAGGGTCCCAGCTCAAAAGTGGCCAAAATGACGTGCGCTGACATGCTGCAATACCACCCCGGGCCTGTGGGGGTGGACCCGGAATAAGAATTAGCCAATGCTAACATATAGCGTTGGCAGACCTTTTAAAAACGTCTTTACAGGATGGTCCAAAAGTTGGCTCTTGGCCCAAAGCTCCGTTCCACATGTGTGTCAATGCTGAGGGGGGTGTTTTGAACAAAATACTAACGTTTATGTGATGAATGCATAACTTCAATCCGTCCAGATGGACAACTGACATGGTAAAGTCTGTGCGAAGAAAATCCCAGGGACTAGTACGAAGCCAAAAATGCAACACTTGAACTGCCTTAGGTGGCGCTGGAATGCACTCACAGTTTGTGTGTTGCATATCGTTGTGTTCAGGGTCATACGCTGTTATTTCTGCATTCATTTTTTAGCCTCATCGGACAAACATATTGCCCTAAAAAGCTCATTCATTCACGTTTCCGGCGCCCCCATGTGGTCAGGTGTGGGACTACAACTTTTGCGTAATGTAATGTTTTGCTCGACTCGGTCCAAGAATACACTCAGCGATTTTCGGCCGATCCGACCACTATGCCCCTATTACTTTCCGACAGTGGCCTAAAAGCTACATAATGGGCGAATGATTTTAGTGTCATGCGTTCACGCCATTTACCTAATATTACTGATTGAGGCTCAGCTCTGAGGTCTGAGCCGGTGGCCTCAGGCTCCAGTGAAAAATGCCAAAACGAAAGGCCTTATTCGCCATGGCGAGGACGAAAACGTGAAGATTTTCTAACTTTTTGTTGATGATTATATAACTTCATCCGTCCCAGATTAGAAATGACGTGGTAGAACGCAGTGTGAGGAAAAACCAGGACCTATTCGATATATTATAAAGAAAAGTCAATAGTGGGCGAAACTTTGGGCCCATCATGCCGACTTCCTGTTGGTCCCAAACATGTGCTTAGACCGGCCTTTATGCTCGGTCTCTTAAGATCTAATCACTCAGTCCGAATTCGTGACCTATCCAAATATGCAATCCTGCCGTTCCAATAGAAATGGCAAATTTTGAATTTTCAAGGGGGCCGCTATTGATTCTCCTTTTGGCGGACATCTGGGAAACTCGTACTTATCAATTTTTCGCCGGACCGTCGTTTAGATCCCCCTGTGCAGACTTTTGCATTCTTCAGGCTAAAATCGAATTGTTTCGGCGAAAAAGAATAATAGAAACCACCGAATAACAAATTTCATTAAAGCCGCAAGCGGCGATGAAAGCCTCGCCCCTCCGTGCGTCCGCCTCCTGGGCGCCATCCCACAAGCGTCACGCAACGAATTGGCAGCCCGATCTGACCAGATTACAATATAATAAACAAAGCTCATTATATGATAAAAGTGCGTCCCTAGTGGTCACCTCCGGGACATGCACCCTCTACGTAAGTAGTATTTTGCTCGTTACAATGTAAAGATGATTTTGCAACTTTGTGAAGATCGAAAAGTTTAGGTCAGAAGCCTACATAGTGGCGCTGTAAAGTCATATTAGGGTGTGTTTTTTCACACCAGTACTCTCATGCCATTACCAACAGTTTAGTGATAGTGAGTTTCAGCTCTGTAGGTCTGAGCCTGTGTCAGAGAGCATCAAACATGGAGAAATTCCCACTACCTTGCTGAAAACGATAACAAAATTCTAACTTTAATGCGATGATTACATACACGTCAATCCGTCCAGATAAAGAAAATGACATGGTAGAAGTTCGTGCGATGAAAATCCAGGGACTAGTACGAAGCCAAAAATGCAACACATTGAACTGCCTGAGGTGCGCTGTTGCACTCATCTGTTGTGTGTCATATCGTTGTGTTCAGGGTCAAACTTGTATTTCTGAATTCATTTTTACCTCATCGGACGGACAAACATTTTGCCCTAAAAAGATCATTCATTCACTTTCCGGCGCCCCCATGTGGTCAGGTGTGGGAGGTACAACTTTTGCGTAATGTAATGTTTTGCTCGTCTCGGTCCAGAGAATACACTCAGCGATTTTCGGGCCGATCCGAGACCTAGTGCCCTATTACTTTCCGACAGGTGGCGCTAAAGAGCTCAAATTGGGCGAATGATTTTAGTGTCATTGCGTTCAGGCCATAACTTAATATTACTGATGTGAGTCTCAGCTCTGTAGGTCTGAGCCTGTGGCCCTCAGGGCTCAGCAAAAATGGCCAAAACAAAGGCCTTATTCGCCATGGCGAGGGACGAAAACGGTGAAGATTTTCTAACTTTTTTTCGATGATTATATAACTTCAATCCGTCCAGATTGGGAAATGACGTGGTAGAACTCGGTGTGATGAAAAACCAGGGACTAGTTCGAATTTCTAAATGAAAAGTCAAATTAGTGGCGAAACTTTGGCCCATCATGGCCGACTTCCTGTTGGTCCCAGACATGTGCTTAGACCGGCTTTTATGCTCGTCTCATAGAGATCTATCACTCATCCGAATTTCGTGTACCTACTCCAATATTTGAAAAAAAATCCCCAGAGGGTCAAAAAAAATGAAATTTCTAGGGGGCGTTATAGAGTCGGCGAGCGTCGGACAATCTGGAAACGTTCATTTTATTAAATTTTTCGCCGGACCGGTCGTTTTAGACCCCCCATGTGCAGACTTTTATGCATGTCTTCAGGGTCAAAAATCGAATTGAAGATGCGGAAAAAAAAGAATAATATGAAACCGGTGAATAACAATAGGCCTCCCCAATACTTCGTATTGGCTCGGCCTAATAATAATATTATTAGTATTACTATTAAAAATATGTATTTAACTAATTCTATTAGGCTGTGATGGAACTTCAGAAGTCAACTCTCGAGACCCACCCAGGAGCAGTCAATCATCATCTCAGTTTGAGACTGACTGCACCCCACTGCTTCATACTACCTCCACCTCCACCACTCCAGCCGAAGACAGCTCCTCTACTTCTCCAGCAAAAGATTCCTCTACTCCTCCTGAATATGAAGGTGCGCATTACATGGAATATAATCTAACCTAATAGTTTTAATTGTTTATCTTATTATTATTTGTAGTGGTGGTAGTAGTAGAATAATAATAAAGAATATGCTGTTTTTTTAGGCTGTGATGGAACTGCAGAAGTCAACTCTCGGGACCCAGCCAGGAGCCGTCAATCGTCATCTCAGTTTGAGACTGACTGCTGCGCCCCACTGCTTCTTACTACCTCCACCTCCACCACTCCAGCTGTAGAAAGCTCCTCTACTTCTTCAGAAAAAGATACTTCTTTTCCTCCTGAATCTGAAGAGAGCTGCACTTACTGCAACCCTCAGTGATGATCCTGGGTTGTGGCCAGATGTAATGAATGAAGAAACTCGTTGTCAAATTGTTAGAAATGGACCAGTTCAAATTGTGGACTTTGATTTTCCTAAAAACACTGAAGTTCCACCAAGAAGGTTCACAAAAGACAACTATAAGATAATGATGAAAAATGGGGAAAAAATCCAGAGGTCATGGCTTCTGTATTCTGTGAGCACTGATGCTGTATTTTGTTTTTCCTGTTTACTGTTTAGTAAGAGAGACAACGCTCTAAGCACCCATGGTTATTGTGCATGGAAGAACCTTGCACATCACCTTAAAGAACACGAATACACAAAAGCACACTCAGAGTCAATGAAAAAGTGGCATGAGCTACAAAAAAGATTGCTAACTCAAACTGCCATTGACCAAACCTACCAAAATCTCATGCAACTTGAAATTGAACACCGGAAAGCAGTTATACACAGAGTCATAGCCATTATCTGTCACCTGGCTGAACAAAACCAAGCCCTCAGGGGTACATCTAATGTACCATTTGATGATCACAATGGGAATTTTCTATCACTGGTTGAACTTATGGGTCAGTTTGATTCTGTGCTCAATGAACATTTGAAAAGAATTAAAAACAAAGAGATGAAAGTACACTATCTAAGTCCAACTATTCAAAATGAGATTATAAATTTGGTAGGCGAGAAAATCATTGAGGAAATAATGCGAAGAGTTAAACAGGCCAAGTACTACTCCGTCATAATGGACTGCACACCAGACCTGTCACACAAGGAACAGCTGTCATTGGTGCTTAGAATAGTGAACTGTGAAACATCTGTTGGAGCAGCTATATCGGAGCATTTTGTTGGCTTTTTTGATGTTAAGGACACAACCGGCAGAGGGCTAACAGAGACTCTAGTAGGCTTTCTTCAGCAACATGGGCTCAACATTTCTGACTGTCGCGGCCAATCATATGACAATGGTAGTAATATGATGGGCCACAAACAAGGTGTGCAGGCCAGAATTTTGCAAATGAACAGCAAAGCTCTGTGTGTGCCCTGCAGCAGTCACACACTAAATCTTGTTGTTTCAGATGCAGCAAAATCATCTGTTATGTCTATGTCCTTTTTTGGTTTGCTCCAACGACTCTACAATCTGTTCAGCTCTTCAGTGCAACGGTGGGCTGTTCTCAAGCAACATGTCACGCAGTTGACTTTAAAAATGTTGTCAGCAACCAGGTGGGAAGCTCGAATAGACAGTGTTAAAGTGTTGCGTTACCACCTACCAGAGGTTTTGGAAGCACTGTCTGCACTTCAGACTTTTGCTGTTGAAAAGAGGGATGCTGAGACATTGTCCACTGCCAAAAGTCTGCACAGTGAAATGAACACATGGCGTTTCCTTTTATGCACCATTATCTGGTACAATATTTTGTACCAGATAAACCACATGAGTAAACTTCTGCAGAGTCCAAATGTTTCTCTGGAAACACTCAGAAAAGAAACAAAAGGTGTGAGAGTTTATCTTTTGCAATTTAGAGAAAGTGGGTTGTCTTGCTGTCAATCCTCTGCAATGGACATTGCAGAGGAACTGAAGATGAAATACTGAAGAAAAAATACTTCCTGCAAAGAGACAGAAAAGAACACCAAAGCATTTTGACTGTGACTCAGCAGCAGAAGAAACTCTACACAGTCCAGAACAGGCATTCAGAAGGGAATTCTTTCTTCCTTTAGTAGACACTGCACTTACAAGTCTCAATGACCGCTTCTCAAAAATGGAAGATGTGTATGCACTGTACAGTTTTCTATTTTCCAAAGACAATATGAGGCAAGCTGTAAAAGAGAATAAACTGCAAGTGAAATGCAAAACCTTAGAAAAGATGCTTCATGACATTGAGGCAGAGGATTTAGTTTTGGAGGTCAGATCAGCCATCCATACCTTTCCTGATGATGTCTCTGCATGCCCACAAGACATGCTGAATTACATTTACAGTGAGGACATGCTGGATTTGTACTGCAATCTCAGCATAGCACTACGTCTCCTTCTGACACTTCCTGTCACTGTAGCTTCTGGAGAGAGAAGCTTTTCAGCTTTAAAACTGATATAGTCTTACCTCAGATCATCCATGAGCCAAGAAAGACTGAGAGGACTGGCACTTATATCAATAGAACGCAACACAAGGAGATCATTGAACATGGACAATTTGGTCACTGCTTTTGTGCAAGCTAAAGTCCGCAAGCGTTGCTAAACTTCATTTTGGATGGTTATTCTATGACAAAAATCCTGGTTGTACATTGTTAAAATAGTTTGTGTTATACACCATTTTAATACCTTTCTTTTAATTCAACATTTGTATAGTTCTAGATAAAAAAACAATGCTCAGCATAAAGAGAAGACAGTTCTTAAGAATGATAATATGAATAATCATACCTTGTTACCTTGTTTTTGCCTTGTTGACCAAATAAACATTCATCAAATTGTGTCATTCCCATCAACAATGCCTCATTGAAGACACTGCGCCCTTTACTACACTCTAGTGGCCACTTTGTGTAGCGTACTACAGAGTAATTCATGACTCCTAAAATGCACCAGAATACAAGAAATTCCATCTGATTTAAAAAAAAAAATTCCGAGCAAAGACATGGGGCCTCACTTCACTCTTTTGCCTAGGGCCCCCAAATATCTTGAAACGGCCCTGCTCCCAGGTGGCTTGTGGCAAACTTTAAACCAGACTTTTTATGGATATCTTTGAGAAATGGCTTTCTTCTTGCCACTCTTCCATAAAGGCCAGATTTGTGCAGTGCACGACTGATTGTTGTCCTATGGACAGACTCTCCCACCTCAGCTGTAGTTATCTGCAGTTCATCCAGAGTGATCATGGGCCTCTTGGCTGCATCTCTGATCAGTCTTCTCCTTGTTTGAGATGAAAGTTTGGAGGGATGGCCGGGTAAATTTGCAGTGGTCTGATACTCCTTCCATTTCAATATAATTGCTTGCACAGCGCTCCTTGAGATGTTTAAAGCTTGGGAAATCTTTTTGTATCCAAATCCGGCTTTAAACTTCTCCACAACAGTAGCTGCGTTTCCATTGAATAATGCGCAAAAACTTTTTCGATACATTTCAAAATTCGAAAAACCTGTAATTCGCAAAAGCGGCCGTTTCCATTAAGACATATTCGAATAAGTATACACTATTTTCGCGCGTTTATTCACTAGTTTCTAGTACGTCAACATGGCAACAGAAGTAAACAACACTTTGATTTACGTGAGATATATTAATGTCTTGACTTCTGCTGCGGCTCTCATCCTCTCTGACCTCTGACCCCGGGAGAAACTGTGGCTGCTTTGACAGCTCCGCAAACGCGCGTGGTCATGTACCGAGCGCGGACTATAGACGCGCGCACAGAACCATAGACACGGGTCTTGCCTGTCTCCCCCGTCTCTCCCCCGTCTCTCCCCCATGCCTCTCCCCCGTCTCTCCCCCGTCTCTCCCCCATGCCTCTCCCCCGTCTCTCCCCCGTCTCTCCCCCATGCCTCTCCCCCGTCTCTCCCCCATGCCTCTCCCCCGTCTCTCCCCCATGCCTCTCCCCCGTCTCTTCCCCGTCTCTCCCCCGTCTCTCCCCCGTCTCTCCCCCATGCCTCTCCCACGTATCTCCCAAGTCTCCACACGAAGCGCAGCCAAAACTCACTGAATAAAGCAGCTCGGCTTCCTCCGCTATATCGAAATAAGTGTTTCCATTGCCGTTTTGCGAAAAGCTTAATTTCGATACGTCCAAAAAACCACCGATTTTAAGCGCATTAACTTTTTATCAAAAAACTGTGGTTTATTCAAAATTTGCGCGTTTCCATTAGACATTTTATGATGCGCAAATTCAAATTTCGAAATTTGATGCTCAATGGAAACGCAGCTATTATCTCGGACCTGCCTGGTGTGTTCCTTTGTCTTCATGGTTCTCTCTGCGCTTTAAACAGAACCCTGAGACTATCAAAGAGCAGGTGCATTTATACGGAGACTTGATTACACACAGATGCATTCTATTTATCATCATCAGTCATTTAGGACAACATTGGATCATTCAAAGATCCTCACTGAACTTCTGGACTGAGTTTGCTGCACTGAAAGTAAAGGGGCCGAATAATATTGCACGCCCCACTTTTCAGTTTTTTATTTGTTAAAAAAGTTTAAATTATCCAATAAATTTCGTTCCACTTCACGATTGTGTCGCACTTGTTGTTGATTCTTGACAAAAAATAAATTTTTTATATCTTTATGTTTGAAGCCTGAAATGTGGCGAAATGTTGAAAGGTTCAAGGGGGCCGAATACTTTCGCAAGGCACTGTAAGTTGAACACATTTAACAAAATAAAAAAGTAACATATTTGTTTTTTTTAATGATTAATACAAATATTTCATAAAGTCAACGTGATTCATGTCTGTTGTGGTCGGTGCACCTCCATTATTTGTGTAGTGTTAGTGTAGGAGCCTGTGGGTGGGTTTACTGGTCCTGTGTTGTCCTGGTCTGGTTCTGGACTGGTCCTGGTCCTGGTCTGGTTCTGGGCTGGTCCTGGTCTGGTTCTGGTTCTGGGCTGGTCTTGGTCATGCCCGTCTCCACAGACTCTAACTTATTTTTGTTCAACCTGGTCCTGACACTTGCTCCTTGTTCTCCTTCTCTCCCGCAGACGGAGCCTCTTCTCCCTGATCTGTGACACCTCTGTTTGTATTGTTGTTGTTTCCACATTTTAAACTGTTTAAACTGTGAGCCTTATTCCTCGGTCTCTTCTCTGAAAGACTCAGAATGTGACGTTATCTGCCGTAAAGAGAGCGACTGTGCTTCTGTCTCAGTGACCGTCTCTGACCAATGTGGCCCATGAGTCTACGCTGAGGCTTCTATCGCTGTGATGTCACACTTTGGAGAGAGAATTTTAGTGGAAACAGGACGCCCCATCAGGGCCCAAACTCCTCTTTATGAAGCTCCACGGTAGTAATACTGTCATCCACCGCTTTGATCATGTCTGGAGCTGAGGGGAGGGGCATCAGGGCGTGGCATCAGGGAAAACCAGTGGGGGCGGGTCCCGGCTCAAAAGTGTCCAAAATGACGTGCGCTGACATGCTGCAGTACCACCCCGGGCCTGTGGGGGTGGACCCGGAAGAAGAATTAGCCAATGCTAACATATAGCATTAGCAGACCTCTCAAAAACGTCTTTACAGGATGGACCAAAAGTTGTCTCTTGGTCCAAAGCTCCGTTCCACATGTGTGTCAATGCTGAGTGTTCTGGACCAATCTAGTTTAGTCGCTGTGGACTTTAGAAGTCTCTCGTTTAAATGAATAAAGCTGCAACGGCTGACGCATGCGCAGATGCGTTTTTTGACAATTTTCTTGTGGGCGGGACCACTCGCGGCCATTTTTTTTATAGCTCCAGTAGAGCATATTTTTTGGCCCATTTGTTTGAACGCCGGAGATAGGAGTGAGTACTTAATGTTTACAGTCTATGGGGCAAACGCAGGTTCAAAAGAGTCACTGTGAACTGTATTCTTTACGAGGTAGATCACTTTATTCGGGACACAAGCCTTAGATTGTCTTGTGTAAACAATTTTGTAAAAATGCTGCTTTAAAATCTGTCTGTTTTCATTGGACCCTCCTCTGGTGTGACCATGAAGACAGCAGTACACATGGTCACTTTTCCCTCCTGTCGACTATTTCAAAATGGCAGCGAGCAGCCCCTCCCGCAGGAAAACACATTAGTGCCTGTGTTAGCTGCACTAGCCCCATTCATTTAACAAGTGCATTCAGAAGTCCACAGCAGCTAAAGTAGACTGGTCCAAAACAATATTTACTGGAACGTAGCTTTGGACCAAGAGCCACTTTTGGACCAAGAGCCACTTTTGGACCAAGAGCCACTTTTGGACCAAGAGCCACTTTTGGACCAAGAGCCACTTTTGGACCAAGAGCCACTTTTGGACCAAGAGCCACTTTTGGACCAAGAGCCACTTTTGGACCAAGAGCCACTTTTGGACCAAGAGCCACTTTTGGACCAAGAGCCACTTTTGGACCAAGAACCACTTTTGGACCGTCCTGTAAAGACGAGTGGAAAAAAGGAGCCTGTAAGAATCCAATGGATAATTCTGTTTCCGGGTACACCCCCACCAGAGTCAGAGCATGTCAGACAGAAGCACAGTGGCTCTCAGTTAAACCATGTGTGATGTCACGCACATGTTCATCTGTTTACATCTTTTATTTCTATTTTTTTTAGTTCTACAAAAAGTGTATTTACTGTAGAACTCTCTGTTGGGTTTGAGTTTGTGTCAATAAAGATTTTACACTTTTACTCTGGATTTCTCACTTTGTGCTTGTGTGGTTTTCTGAAGCTAACACCAGTTTCTCCACATTTAAATACTGGCTGATCTTAAATGAATCCTGTTTTTGCCAAAGCGAAGTCCTTCAGAGAAAGCCTGATGCTGTTGTTAACTATCACATGTGTCAGGTTTTAAAACCAGTCTTAAAAACCTTTGCCTTTTGCTTATTAATATCCGAGGCTGAACGTCAGGTATCATTTCATTTATCATTTTATTTACATTCATTTAGGTATTTTTCACATCGGGCATGAACTAAATAATCTGTATTTTTATGGCACATTTCGCAGACTAAGGCCACTCGAAGCACTTTACACTTTTTAGTCTTTTAATGAGAAATTCAACTTTAAATATTCAAAAGGTGAGAGCTTTATAGCAGAGAAAGGACGACTGCAGTTAGTAAATAAGTAAAGTTTATTTGTAAAGCGCCTTTCACAGACCAGGATCACAAAGCACAAATCAATCACAGGAATGAAACATGAAAAATATGTAAAAAAGTTTGGTGAGAGTGTCCTGGAGGCAGAGGATTAGACGGTTCCCTCAGCTCTGTCAGACTGACCACGCCCCCCTCAGATCTGTTAGACTGACCACGCCCCCCTCAGATCTGTCAGACTGACCACGCCCCCCTCAGATCTGTTAGACTGACCACGCCCCCCTCAGATCTGTTAGACTAGACTCTGTAACGACCGACCCGACCGCCCCTCAGATCTGCCCACGCCCCTCAGATCTGTCAGACTGACCACGCCCCTCAGCTCTGTTAGACGCCACGCCCCCTCAGAGCTGTCAGACTGACCACGCCCCCCCAGCTCTGTCAGACTGACCACGCCCCATTAGATCTGTCAGACTGACCACGCCCCCTCAGATCTGTCAGACTAACCACGCCCCCCAGCTCTGTCAACTGACCACGCCCCCTCAGCTCTGTCAGACTGACCACGCCCCCTCAGCTCTGTCAGACTGACCACGACCCCTCAGCTCTGTTAGACTGACCACGCCCCCCTCAGAGCTGTTAGACTGACCACGCCCCCCCAGCTCTGTCAGACTGACCACGCCCCATTAGATCTGTCAGACTGACCACGCCCCCTCAGATCTGTCAGACTAACCACGCCCCCTCAGCTCTGTCAACTGACCACGCCCCCTCAGCTCTGTCAGACTGACCACGCCCCCTCAGCTCTGTCAGACTGACCACGCCCCCTCAGCTCTGTCAGACTGACCACGACCCCTCAGCTCTGTTAGACTGACCACGCCCCCCTCAGATCTGTTAGACTGACCACGCCCCCCCAGCTCTGTCAGACTGACCACGCCCCTCAGATCTGTCAGACTAACCACGCCCCCTCAGCTCTGTCAACTGACCACGCCCCCTCAGCTCTGTCAGACTGACCACGCCCCCTCAGCTCTGTCAGACTAACCACGACCCCTCAGCTCTGTTAGACTGACCACGCCCCCTCAGAGCTGTCAGACTGACCACGCCCCCTCAGATCTGTCAGACTGACCACGCCCCCTCAGCTCTGTTAGACTAACCAACTTGCATTTATGTTCTTCTGTTCCTACTTCCAACTCCAACTGTAGGGGGCGTGGCCAGTCTGATGACCTGTCAGACTGACCAGAGACATGTGTCTATATTGAAGAAGCTGGAACACGTGGTACTTCCGCAGAGCTAGCCTCTTTACACTTCAGACCAATCTAATCCTGTGTCTTCCCGATACAAGTTTGTGTTTATTTGACCTCACCTTTTTTACGTTAATGAAACTTGCAAAACGTTGTGTTTCTTTTAACCACGTTACAGGACTCCATCTTCAAGACTCAAACCTCCTTCACAAACACGTCCCCCCGCTCCCTCTGTCCAAATGCTCTAATTTCAAACATTATATTGTAAGTTCATCATGATATAAGGTCATGGACAGAGCTCTTTCTACTAAAAACATTTTACCTCTAAATTAGTTTTGTTAATTGCTTCTTTAACCCTGCATTGTTCTAAACCTTTCACATCATGCATCAACCCTCCTCCTCCCCGTGACTTTATCATTAGCCAGACCAGCTCTTCTTCAATCCACACCGGGCCTTTGGAGACCGGTTTGAAACCCTTGGTCTAGGTCCCGGGGGATTCCATAATCTCTGCATTTGTCGCAGTGCTCTGCCGGGGTTCCATATACAGCAGCAATACATGTCATTCTTAATATATAATGTCCGCAGAGTTATTTGACCTAATTTAACAGTAACGGATCACCATGGCAACCTAAGTCTCCAGATTGAAACGCTCTTATCCTCTTGTTGTACTCGAGTATTTCACGGCGGTGTGAAAGGAGGAGGTACTTTCCCACATGTCGCACTACCACTAGAGGGCAGTGTTGCACATTCTACTCATCACTGACTGTTTTTCACGTTCCCCTTCACAGATACATAAAAAAATTACGATGCGTTTGTCTCGGGTCAGAAAGTACATTTTTTTTGCATAGATTTAATTTTGTGTTCTTTCTGAAATGAGACAGACGGACGCGGGAAATGATCCAATATCACCTCATTGGTCAAAATAATGTAAAAATAAAAAATAGATTAAAAAATTAGAAATACTTCTTTGCACTTTGTTTTTCTGTTATACACTTTGAGAATGACTTTGTTTTGTCAATAACGTCTGCAGAGTGAGATGTTTGTTTCAGGTTCAGACGGTGTCATGTGATTGTTTTAAATGAAAAAGGTGTGTCATGGCTCAAAAAGGTTGGGGGACACTGACTGAACCCCACTTTGCCCGAAGCCCCCGCTGAAACACCTCGGCCCCACCCCCTGCCGGAGGGTCACAGGTGTTTAGAGACTTGGGTTCAGCTCCCATTGCCACTTTCCTGACCCAGACATGGATAATAATGTTTAAATAGAGTAAAAGCGAGTTCTCCGGTGTGTCCGCGGTCACTCCTCGCTGACGGTGTGTCCGCGGTCACTCCTCGCTGACGGTGTGTCCGCGGTCACTCCTCGCTGACGGTGTGTCCGCGGTCACTCCTCGCTGACGGTGTGTCCGCGGTCACTCCTCGCTGACGGTGTGTCCGCGGTCACTCCTCGCTGACGGTGTGTCCGCGGTCACTCCTCGCTGACGGTGTGTCCGCGGTCACTCCTCGCTGACGGTGTGTCCGCGGTCACTCTTCGCTGACGGTGTGTCCGCGGTCACTCTTTGCTGACGGTGTGTCCGCGGTCACTCCTCGCTGACGGTGTGTCCGCGGTCACTCCTCGCTGACGGTGTGTCCGCGGTCACTCCTCGCTGACGGTGTGTCCGCGGTCACTCTTTGCTGACGGTGTGTCCGCGGTCACTCCTCGCTGACGGTGTGTCCGCGGTCACTCCTCGCTGACGGTGTGTCCGCGGTCACTCTTTGCTGACGGTGTGTCCGCGGTCACTCTTTGCTGACGGTGTGTCCGCGGTCACTCCTCGCTGACGGTGTGTCCGCGGTCACTCCTCGCTGACGGTGTGTCCGCGGTCACTCCTCGCTGACGGTGTGTCCGCGGTCACTCCTCGCTGACGGTCAGCGCGGCGCAGGACTTGGCCTTCCCCAGAGTGAAGCGCACCGTGCCGCTCATGTGCTGATGCGGCTGCTGCAGTTTCAGGGTGTGGCTGGTGCCCTGGCTCTCCATGCGGACCCCGGGGCCCGGCCGGAGCACCTCCCCGTTCAGGCTCCAGGACGGGGCCTTGTTGATGTCCACGGAGACGTCACAGCGGAAGGAGGCGGTCTGCTGTGGGGTGACCTGGGTGTCCTCCAGGGGGCGCACCACCACCAGGGCCTGGCCTGAGGGGGAGGAGGGAGGAGGGAGGAGGGAGGGAGGGAGGGAGGGAGAGTCAGTGAGGAAGGAGAGACCAGAGAGAGAGAAAGATCAGAAAGGGAGAGACCAGAGGGAAGTCAGAGAGAAATGAGGACCTGAGGGAGACCAGAGAGCGAGACACCAGAGAGCGAGACACCAGAGAGCGAGACACCAGAGAGCGAGACACCAGAGAGCGAGACACCAGAGAGCGAGACACCAGAGAGCGAGACACCAGAGAGCGAGACACCAGAGAGCGAGACCAGAACAGTGGATTGGCTGAGCCTTTCTCACCTTCTACCAGGAGCTTGGCGGAGCTGGTGTGCTCTCCCACCTGGACGCTGTAGGTGTCCTCGTCCTCCACACTGACCTCCTGGATGACCAGTTTGTGGGTGCAGCCGTCAGACAGCAGCTCCAGCCCGGGGGAGGCCAGCAGCTCCTCCCCCCCCCGGAACCAGAGCGGAGTGCACCGCGGCGTGGACGTGGTGCACTCCAGGATCACCCGGTGCTTCTCCAGCGCCGTGCGATCGCGAAGCGGCTTCACGATGGAGACGGGCAGCTCTGTGAGAGAGCACAAGGACCAGTCTGAGGTTCAGCTACAGCCGCATTTCTTTGATAAAGCAAAAGGTCTTTCTGTTGGACGTACGATATGGATCATTCAGGCTCGAGGGGCTGCGGCTTTCATGGAGTCTTTACCACAATACGTCACATTGTGGTAAAGCAACTATTTATCCTGGCTTGTAGTTTTCAGATAGAGACCAGAAAGAGAGAGAGAGAGGGACCAGAGAGAGAGAGAGGGACCAGAGAGAGACTAGATACAAGAAAGAGAATGGCCAGAGGAGCCCAAAGAGAAGGAAAAGAGAGAGAGACCAGAGAGAGAAGGGGGGGAAGAGAGAGACCAGAGAAAAATAGACCAGCGAGAGAGTCCAGAGAGAGACCAGAACAAGATCTCAGAGGGAGAGACCAGAGAAAAATCTACACATTTATTTTATAAAACGTCCAGTCCCCATGGTGCAGAGACCAGACCAGCTGCGTGCTCACCTTCCACCTCCAGAAACGCCGCCGTCTCCACGTCCCGCGCCACAAACCGGATCTCTCCGGCGTCCTCCGCTTTGACGTTACACATGAGCAGGAAGTGTTTGGTTCCTTTAAACACAAATCGAGACGATGCATTCGACTATTCTGTCTCATATGGACCATAACCGCAGATTAAAGCTGGGTTTGTAACTTTTTCAAGATGGATTCTGCGGTCGCCCTTGTACCTTCCGTGCGGATCTTGACGGTGGCGCTGGGGCGGATGCGGCTGCCGTCCTTGAACCAGTCGCCGCTCACGCCCTCCAGAGACAGACTGCACATGAAGACCGCGTTCTGGTCCTCCAAGATCTCCAGGTCCTCCAGCCCCTGCACCAGCTCCAGCTTGTGCTCTGACAAACACACAGAGACGCACACACAGAGACGCACACAAAGAGACGCACACACACACACAAACACGCAGACACACACGCAGACGCACACACAGACGCACACACACACAGAGACGCACACACAGACACACACAGGATTGATTTTCTTGTGATCTTTTGTTGTATGGGAACTACAATACAAATACACTTGCCTTGCCTTTCATCATTGTAAGTCTAATGTGGGGCAATGAAGGCCTGCAGCTGATTGGGGAGATTCACACACAGAGACCAGAGAGAGACCAGAGAGAGACCAGAGAGAGACCAGAGAGAGACCAGAGAGAGACCAGAGAGACTAGACCAGAGATAGACCAGAGATAGACCAGAGATAGACCAGAGATAGACCAGAGATAGACCAGAGATAGACCAGAGATAGACCAGAGATAGACCAGAGATAGACCAGAGATAGACCAGAGATAGACCAGAGATAGACCAGAGATAGACCAGAGATAGACCAGAGAGAGACCAGAGAGAGACCAGAGAGAGAGACCAGAGAGAGAGACCAGAGAGAGAGACCAGAGAGAGAGACCAGAGAGAGAGACCAGAGAGAGAGACCAGAGAGAGAGACCAGAGAGAGAGACCAGAGAGAGACCAGAGAGAGACCAGAGAGAGACCAGAGAAAGAAACCAGAGAGCGACTGGAAAGAGACTGGAAACAGACCAAAAGGACAGACCGGAAAGAAACCAAAGAGAGACACCAAAGAGAGAGACTGGGAAAGAGAGACCGGAAAGTGACCAATGAGAGAGAGGGGGAAAAAGACCAGAGAGAGATCGGACAGAGAGAGACCAGAGAGAGACCAGAGAGAGAGAGACCAGAGAGAGAGACCAGAGAGAGAGACCAGAGAGAGAGACCAGAGAGAGAGACCAGAGAGAGAGACCAGAGAGAGAGACCAGAGAGAGAGACCAGAGAGAGAGACCAGAGAGAGAGACCAGAGAGAGAGACCAGAGAGAGAGACCAGAGAGAGAGACCAGAGAGAGAGACCAGAGAGAGACCAGAGAGAGACCAGAGAGAGACCAGAGAGAGACCAGAGAGAGACCAGAGAGAGAAACCAGAGAGAGAAGAGAGAGACCAGAGAGAGAAACCAGAGAGAGAAACCAGAGAGAGACCAGAGAAAGAAACCAGAGAGCGACTGGAAAGAGACTGGAAACAGACCAAAAGGACAGACCGGAAAGAAACCAAAGAGAGACACCAAAGAGAGAGACTGGGAAAGAGAGACCGGAAAGTGACCAATGAGAGAGAGGGGAAAAAGACCAGAGAGAGATCGGACAGAGAGAGACCAGAGAGAGAGAGAAAGGGCCCATGGTGGTACTGACCGTAGACCTCCAGAGTGCAGCTGGTCTGCAGGTCTCCGCTCTCACACTTGTAGAGGCCGGAGTCGTCTGTGGAGCTCTGCAGGATCTGACAGAAGCGTTTCCGGCCCATGGAGTAGATCCGGATGTTCTTCCCCGGCTTCAGCTCCTTCCCGTCCTGAAGGACAGAACAGTTGAAAACAGATCATTAAGACAGAAGGGGTGGGGGGATGTGTGTTTGAGGGTCTGGGGGAGTCACCTTGTACCACTTGACCTCCAGCAGCGGTCGTGAAAACTCGCACTCCAGCGTGAGCGAAGTGTCCTCCTCCACTCGGGCGTCTGCCAGAGGCAGCAGCAGCAACACCGGGGTCTCTGCGACAGAAGGAGGTCTGTGACAAACGGGCTCAGGGCGAGAGCGGATCATTCAGAACCAGAGACTGTGAATCTCAAAACAATATAAAAATAATAATAATGCATCTGTTTTATTCAGCGCTTTTTTGGACACTCAAAGACACGTCACATGTCATTATTCTCTCACTCCATACACGGTGGTGATAAACTACTACTGTAGCCACAGCTGCCCTGGGGCACACTGACAGAAGCCAGGCTCCTCCCACCACCACCAACCATTCACACACACACAGACTCATTCTATGCAATGGGGGTAAAATGTCTTGCCTAAGGACACAACGACAGCAGACAGTGGGAGTTGATGGTGAAAGTCGGACTCGAACCCGCGACCCTCTGGCTCAAAGGCCAATACTCTACCAACTGAGCTAGAAATATAATTGTGGGTCATCAAATGTGTTTGTAAATCACAAATCTATAGTCCAAATGTTTTTCATTAAAAATACAGATCCAGTAGATGCTACATACATACTTCATACATACTTCATACATACTTCATCCATACTTCATACATACTTCATACATACTCATACTGCAGATAGAGTGTCTTTATTCTCACAGCCTAAACTGACTCTGGGCTGAAACACTAGTTTCAGGTTTTCTCTCCAAAGTGAAGGGTCTGAGGGAACAGGCCTGACCTTTGACCGTGAGCCTGGCGGAGGTGCGCAGACCGTCTGCGGTGAACACGATGGTGCCAGTGTCCTCCAGAGTGAGGCCGGACAGGGTCAGACTGTGCACTCGCCCGTTGCGGCTCACCCGGACCTGGGCGCTGGGTTTGACCCGGATGCCGTCCTTCTGCCAGGAGCCCTCCACGTCGGTGTGGGACAGCTCCAGCTGGAAGGAGGCGGCCTCTCGCTCGAACGCCTCCTGGTCCAGCAGCGCACTGCGGACGCTGATCTTTCGAGCTGCAGGTAAAACACACGTGAGTGAGGAGGAGCTAGCTCCACCTGGTGGTAGATAAAGGGAACTGCATGCACCATAGTCCGACATCTAACATGTCATGAATGTGGTTAATGTAAGTGGTCCAGTGGTTTGTGCTTGTGCTTCACAGCAAGAAGGTCCTGGGTTTGAGTCCACCTCCAGACAGGGTCTATCAGTGTGGAGTTTGCATGTTCTCCCTGTGTCTGCATAGGTTTCCTCCAGGTGCTCTGATTTCCCAGAGTGAGTGTGTGTTTGAAACAACATACTACATGTGTACTTGTGTTGGTCTGATTTGCTTTTGGAGGATTATGGCTCAATCTAAAACAGCAGCAGCTTATCCCACGACAAAGGAACATCCCACTACAGCTCCACAGCTGCATAAATGCTTCTGAGAAACCCTCTCTGAGCAGCTGCACCTGACCCGCTCCAGAGCTTTTACCTTCTGAGAAACCCTCTCTGAGCAGCTGCACCTGACCCGCTCCAGAGCTTTTACCTTCTGAGAAACCCTCTCTGAGCAGCTGCACCTGACCCGCTCCAGAGCTTTTACCTTCTGAGAAACCAAAGGTCAGTGAGCAACAATGAGAGCAGAGGTCGGCCAGGCTGGTCTCTCTCCAAACAGACTTATACTGTATTTATATACACACATATCTGGCATAGCATCTGGAGAGAGAGACCAGAGAGAGAGACCAGAGAGAGACCAGAGAGAGACACCAGAGAGAGAGACCAGAGAGAGACCAGAGAGAGACCAGAGAGAGAGACCAGAGAGAGAGACCAGAGAGAGAGACCAGAGAGAGAGACCAGAGAGAGAGACCAGAGAGAGAGACCAGAGAGAGAGACCAGAGAGAGACCAGAGAGAGACCAGAGAGAGAGACCCCAGAGAGACCGAGACAGGCCAGTGAAAGACTAGAGAGAGACCAGAGACCATAACTACCACACACAAAGAAAATAGAGAAATGTCATTGTGGTGTATCAAATGTCGGCCTATATTTACAGTATCTGGTTTGCCAGAGCAGCCGGAGCTCCCCAGGGTGAGTAAAGGGTGAGTAAAGGGTGAGTAAAGGGTGAGTAAAGGGTGAGTAAAGGGTGAGTAAAGGGTGAGTAAAGGGTGAGTAAGGGGTGAGTAAAGGGTGAGTAAAGGGTGAGTAAAGGGTGAGTAAGGGGTGAGTAAGGGGTGAGTAAAGGGTGAGTAAAGGGTGAGTAAAGGGTGAGTAAGGGGTGAGTAAAGCGTGAGTAAGGGGTGAGTAAAGGGCAAGTAAAGGGTGAGTAAGGGGTAAGTAAAGGGTGAGTAAAGGGTGAGTAAGGGGTGAGTAAAGGGCAAGTAAAGGGTAAGAAAGGGGTAAGTAAAGGGTGAGTAAAGGGTGAGTAAAGGGTAAGTAAAGGGTGAGTTAGGGGTGAGTATGGGGTGAGTAAAGGGTGAGTAAAGGGTGAGTAAGGGGTGAGTATAGGGTGAGTAAGGGGTGAGTAAAGGGTGAGTAAGGGGTGAGTATAGGGTGAGTAAAGGGTGAGTAAGGGGTGAGTAAAGGGTGAGTAAAGGGTGAGTAAAGGGTGAGTAAAGGGTAAGTAAATGGTAAGTAAAGGGTGAGTAAAGGGTGAGTAAGGGGTGAGTAAGGGGTGAGTAAGGGGTGAGTAAAGGGTGAGTAAGGGGTGAGTAAGGGGTGAGTAAGGGGTGAGTAAAGAGTGAGTAAAGGGTGAGTAAGGGGTGAGTAAAGGGTGAGTAAAGGGTGAGTAAAGGGTGAGTAAGGGGTGAGTAAAGGGTGAGTAAAGGGTGAGTAAAGGGTGAGTAAGGGGTGAGTAAAGGGTGAGTAAAGGGTGAGTAAGGGGTGAGTAAAGGGTGTCACTTACGCTCCACGTGCAGCTTGACCTGGGTGCGGTCGTGGAGGCTCTCGCAGCGGTACGTCCCGCGGTCGTTGAGGGTGAGGTTGTGGAGGGTGAGGCGGCGGGTGCGGCCCTCGTGGGTGAGGGAGTAGTGCGGCCCGGCCTGGATCACCACGCCCTGCCTCATCCACTGCACCTCCCCCGAGTCCAGGCTCACCTCCGTCTGCAGCGTGGCGTCCTCCATCTCCTCCGCCATCACCGACTCCATCCTCTTGGTGAAGGTGATCTGAGCCTCTGGACCACACAGACCAGGACCCAGTGAGACCAGGACCCAGAGAGACCAGGACCCAGTGAGACCAGGACCCAGACCAGGACCCAGACCAGCACCCAGAGAGACCAGGACTCAGAGAGACCAGGACCCAGAGAGACCAGGACCCAGAGAGACCAGGACCCAGAGAGACCAGGACCCAGAGAGACCAGGACCCAGAGAGACCAGGACCCAGACTAGCACCCAGAGAGACCAGGACACAGAGAGACCAGGACACAGAGAGACCAGGACACAGAGAGACCAGGACACAGAGAGACCAGGACACAGAGAGACCAGGACCCAGAGAGACCAGGACCCAGAGAGACCAGGACCCAGAGAGACCAGGACCCAGAGAAACCAGGACCCAGAGAGACCAGGACCCAGAGAGACCAGGACCCAGACCAGCACCCAGAGAAACCAGGACCCAGGGAGACCAGGACACAGAGAGACCAGGACCCAGTAGGACCCAGACCAGCACCCAGAGAAACCAGGACCCAGAGAGACCAGGACCCAGAGAGACCAGGACCCAGACCAGCACCCAGAGAGACCAGGACACAGAGAGACCAGGACACAGAGAGACCAGGACACAGAGAGACCAGGACACAGAGAGACCAGGACACAGAGAGACCAGGACCCAGAGAGACCAGGACCCAGAGAGACCAGGACCCAGAGAGACCAGGACCCAGAGAAACCAGGACCCAGAGAGACCAGGACCCAGAGAGACCAGGACCCAGACCAGCACCCAGAGAAACCAGGACCCAGGGAGACCAGGACACAGAGAGACCAGGACCCAGTAGGACCCAGACCAGCACCCAGAGAAACCAGGACCCAGAGAGACCAGGACACAGAGAGACCAGGACCCAGTAGGACCCAGAGAGACCTGATCCGTTAACAGGTGGGAGGGGTTAACTCCTTTTGCAGCTCGAAACCATTGGAGTTTACCGTGACGCCTGAGTGAATGAGGCATTTAGCATTTAGCCTATCATTAGCATTTAGACTAGCTTTAGCATTTAGCCTTTCTTTAGCATTTAGCCTAGCTTTAGCTTTTAGCTTATCATTAGCATTTAGCCTAGCTTTAGCTTTTAGCCTAGCTTTTGCCATCTCCTTTGCCACTAACGGAGCCCGTGGGGAGTAGAGCCACAACATCTTTGCAGCAGTGACATTTACTAAACATTCCTCTGGCTCCGGCTTCAGTTTCTTGATATTTGAACCAGAACAGATTCTTTTCTTACGGCGTTCTCCGACAAACTCTTGACGTCACCGATGTCTGTATCGTCCTCACCTTGCACTCGGAGGCTGGCCTTGCTGACCTGCCCCTCGGCCTCGGCGGTGATGCGAGCGCAGTCGGTCATGGTGCACTTGTGGATGACCAGCGTGTGGCACAGACCGTTGTGCAGGACCGTGATGCGCCCGTCCACCGCCACCGCCACCGCCACGCTGTCCATCAGCCAGCGCAGGCTCACGTCCTCAGGGGAGACCACGCACTTGAACGTGGCGTCTTCCCCTTCCAGCACCGTGGTGTTGTGGAGCTCGGTGAGGAACTCCACCACACGAGGCACTGCGGACAAAGACAAATGTTCAAGTGTAAAAGATGTGGATTTAACTCATGTTTGTGAACAAATAATAATTAAAAAAAAAATAAACAGAGGATGTGACGTCACAACAAGTGCTTCACAGGCTAGCTAGGGGGTTAGCTGTGAGCTAGAGAATTAGTATTTACATAGTGGGTTTGCATTGAGCTAGTTGGTTAGCATTGAGCTAGTTGGTTAGCATTGAGCTAGTGGCTAGCATTGAGCTAGTGGGTTAGCATTGAGCTAGTGGCTAGCATTGAGCTAGTGGGTTAGCATTGAACTAGTAGGTTAGCATTGCGCTAGTGAGGTTTGCATTGAGCTAGTGGGTTAGCATTGAGCTAGTGGGTTAGCATTGAGCTAGTGGGTTAGCATTGAGCTAGTTGGTTAGCATTGAGCTAGTTGGTTAGCATTGAGCTAGTGGGTTAGCATTGAGCTAGTGGGTTAGCATTGAGATAGTGGGTTAGCATTGAGCTAGTGGGTTAGCATTGAGCTAGTGGGTTAGCATTGAGCTAGTGGGTTAGCATTGAGCTAGTGGCTAGCATTGAGCTAGTGGGTTAGCATTGAGCTAGTGGCTAGCATTGAGCTAGTGGGTTAGCATTGAGCTAGTGGGTTAGCATTGAGCTAGTGGGTTAGCATTGAGCTAGTGGGTTAGCATTGAGCTAGTGGGTTAGCATTGCGCTAGTGAGGTTTGCATTGAGCTAGTGGGTTAGCATTGAGCTAGTGGGTTAGCATTGCTCTAGTGGGTTAGCATTGAGCTAGTGGGTTAGCATTGAGCTAGTGGGTTAGCATTGAGCTAGTGGGTTAGCATTGAGCTAGTGGGTTAGCATTGAGCTAGTGGGTTAGCATTGAGCTAGTGGGTTAGCATTGAGCTAGTGGGTTAGCATTGAGCTAGTGGGTTAGCATTGAGCTAGTGGGTTAGCATTGAGCTAGTGGGTTAGCATTGAGCTAGTGGGTTAGCATTGAGCTAGTGGGTTAGCATTGAGCTAGTGGGTTAGCATTGAACTAGTGGGTTAGCATTGAGCTAGTGGGTTAGCATTAAGCTAGTGGGTTAGCATTGAGCTAGTGGGTTAGCATTGTCCATCTGTATACAGTCTTTCGCCCCATGCAGACACATTATAAACGCACTCACTCTCCACCACCAGCAGGGCGGCGGTGCGGTCATCCTTGGATTCGCAGGCGTACTCCCCGGCGTCGTCTCTGGTCAGACGGTGTATGGTGAGGCTGCGCTCCTGCCCCTCGGCCCGGATGGTGTACCTGCGGCTGGGTGTGATCTCCTGCCCGCCCCGCAGCCACTGGACGTCCGCCTTGGCCTTCCCAACCTGGCAACGCAGGGTCACCATGCCGTCCGCGTGGGCCACCGTGTCCTGGAGCGGCTCGGTGAACTTCACTCGCATCTCTGTCCAAAAGCAGACCGGAGCAGGTGAGACCCGGGGGAGCCACACGGGGGGGGCCTCCATACTGTGGCTGAACCCCCCCGATTGGTCCGGGCCAGTACATTTTTTGGCTACACTTAACTACCAAGGCCCCTGTTATTTTCTTTGTTAAAACTCACCGTGTGCATTTATTTATTTTCTTATGGGGTAAAGGTGTCCAAACAATGAGTTGTAATTTTTTTTGTTTTTTTTTGTATTTTTATTATTTATTTCATTTATTCAAAAGTGACATCATGCAATCACCACAAGACCGCCAATCCAACATAGCATGAATGAAACGGAGCAGAGGAGAAGAAC